GAACCAAAAATCTAACATTTGGACTCATCAGACCAAATGACAGATTTCCACCGGTCTAATGTCCAATGCTCGTGTTCTTTGGCCCAAGCAAGTCTCTTCTTCTTATTAGTGTCCTTTAGTAGTGATTTCTTTGCATCAATTTGACCATGAAGGCCTTATTCACGCAATCTCCTCTGAACAGTTGATGTTGAGATGTATCTGTTACTTGAACTCTGTGCAATTTCCGAGGCTGGTAACTCTAATGAACTTATCCTCTGCAGCAGATGTAACTCTGGGTCTTCCATTCCTGTGGCGGTCCTCATGAGAGCCAGTTTCATCATAGCGCTTGATGGTTTTTGTGACTGCACTTGAAGAAACGTTCAAAGTTCTTGACATTTTCCGGATTAACTGACCTTCATGTCTTGAAGTAATGATGGACTGTCGTTTCTCTTTGCTTATTTGAGCTGTTCTTGCCATAATATGGACTTGGTCTTTTACCAAATAGGGCTATCTTCTGTATACCACCACTACCTTGTCACAACACAACTGATTGGCTCAAATGCATTAAGAAGGAAAGAAATTCCACAAATTAACTTTTAACAAGGCACACCTGTTAACTGAAATGCATTCAAGGTGACTACCTCATGAAGCTAGTTGAGAGAATGCCAAGAGTGTGCAAAGCTGTCATCAAGGCAAAGGGTGGCTACTTTGAAGAATCTCAAATATAAAATATATTTTGATTTGTTTAACGCTTTTTTGGTTACTACATGATTCCATATGTGTTATTTCATAGTTTTGATGTCTTCACTATTATTCTACAATGTAGAAAATAGTTTAAAAAATAAAGAAAAACCCTAGAATGAGTAGGTGTTGTCCAAACCTTTTACTGGTACTGTATATGTAGTATTTTACTGGTACTGTATATGTAGTATATTACGGGTACTGTATATGTAGTATATTACGGGTACTGTATATATAGTACAATACACTTTGAATTCAGCTACAGTACTAAAGCTGTGTATTCTTAGTGCCAAAGAATACACACTCAAATAATGTTTCAAATTGTTGTGGATTGTTTTGGGGACACCTCTGAAAGAGCTACCAATGAGGTATAAGGAAGAGTAACAAACTGTGAAAATACACACAGACAAGCCACTTTGAATTGACATTTCCCAACCTACACTGGCGCTACAGCTCTGGATCCACAAAGTCACCTGACATCTAGACTGACTTTCAGAGATAGAAATGCAGAATTTAAACAAAGGGTGACTGAGTGAGAAACGTGAACAAGAACATTATCAACATGAAGTGTAACGGTGCCTTTTAATTAGCCAGTTTTGACAGCCGTTCATAGCTTCCGCCTCCTCTCAGCCTGTAAAGATGCCGTCATGGGCCGTGTTCATACACATCCCTACCCACCTTCAACTGCCCAAAGCCCCAAACCCACGCTCTGCTACACCCAAGCCTTCTCTTGTCCCTCTTGACGTACAATAGTAGTGTCTCTGCAGTGTGTGTGTGCATGTGCGTGCACACCACACGTGTGCCTGTGTGTATACGTAACGTGTGTGTGTGTGTGTGCACCTGCGTGAATACGTTCATTGTGTGCATACGATCACGTGCGTGTACCTGTGCATGTATGTGTGTGTCTCTGTGTGTGGCCCACTAAGACCACTGGCAGGAGCAGTCGGTGGGTTCCTGTATAGAGTAGCTGACCCAGGTGGAGTTCCCACTGCAGTAGAGCTGAACAGAGCGCCTCTGCAGCCCCATCTCACGGCAGCACTTACAGAACCTGGCGTACGTGTTGATGTTGTAGTTGTAAATACTGGCCGAGGGACACTTCCCGTCACATGACACTATGTTGACCTGGAGGAAGAAAAAAAAAAACAACAACAACAAAATGTAACATGGGACGTAATGCTAAATGTGAATATCCTAATCCTTGCAGACTACGCCAAATGTAGCACTAAGGACAGTTTGTAGATTATCTACACCATATAAAAGGACCTTACCTCTTTAATCCAGGCGGCGTAGATGGGCTATGAACTGTCCTTAATGCTACAAAGAGATTCGCTTTTGTGGTTTTTCTAAAGACATATCATGATAAAAGCCATTATCGTGATAAAGATATTGCTAAATTATCGTGGCACAATAATTAATGATGGACTTGACCCTCCTACTCATCCCAGACAGTTCTATTCCTACATTTTGATGTAACATTTATTTAACCAGGTCAGAATCAATTAAGACCAAAAACGTACCGGTCTGTTACTGCGACAGTCATTCTTCCGTATCGTCATCCTTACAGTAACCTTCTGACAGGACTTCCCATCTTCTTTACCTGCAGGGTTCACAAACACAACGACCACACATCCCATCCGTCTTAATCTGGTTCTGACCACACATCCCATCTGTCTTAATCTGGTTCTGACCACACATCCCATCCGTCTTAATCTGGTTCTGACCACACATCGTATCAGTCTGGATCTGGTTCTGACCACACATCATATCAGTCTGGATCTGGTTCTGACCACACATCACATCAGTCTGGATCTGGTTCTGACCACACATCATATAACCTGCCTTAATGACTACCGCCCGTAGCACTCACATTGGTAGCCAAGAATGCTTTGAAAGGCTGGTCATGGCTCACATCAACACCATCATCCCGGAAACCCTAGACCCACTCCAATTTGCATACCGCCCCAACAGATCCACAGATGACGCAATCTCAATTGCACTCCACACTGCCCTTTCCCACCTGGACAAAAGGAACACCTATGTGAGAATGCTGTTCATTGACTACAGCTCAGCGTTCAACACCATAGTGCCTACAAAGCTCATCACTAAGCTAAGGACCCTGGGACTAAACACCTCCCTCTGCAACTGGATCCTGGACTTCCTGACGGGCCACCCCCAGATGGTAAGGGTAGGCAACAACACATCTGCAACGCTGATCCTCAACACGGGGGCCCCTCAGGGGTGCGTGCTTAGTCCCCTCCTGTACTCCCTTTTCACCCACGACTGTGTGGCCAAGAACGACTCCAACACCATCATTAAGTTTGCTAATGACACAACAGTGGTAGGCCTGATCACCGACAACGATGAGACAGCCTACAGGGAGGAGGTCAGAGACCTGGCAGTGTGGTGCCAGGACAACAACCTCTCCCTCAACGTGAGCAAGACAAAGGAGATGATCGTGGACTACAGGAAAAGGAGGGCCGAACACGCCACCATTCACATCGACGGGGCTGTAGTGGAGCGGGTCGAGAGTTTCAAGTTCCATGGTGTCCACATCACCAACAAACTATCATGGTCCAAACACACCAAGAAAGACATGAAGAGGGCACGACAACACCTTTTCCCCCTCAGGAGACTGAAAAGATTTGGCATGGGACCCCAGATGCTCAAAAAGTTATACAGCTGCACCATCGAGAGCATCCTGACTGGTTGCATCACCGCCTGGTATGGCAACTGCTCGGCATCCAACCGCAAGGCGCTACAGAGGGTAGTGCGTACAACCCAGTACATCACTGGGGCCAAGCTTCCTGCCATCCAGGACCTATATACTAGGCGGTGTCAGAGGAAGGCCCAAAAAATTGTCAAAGATTCCAGTCACCCTAGTCATAGACTGTTCTCTCTTCTAACCCCACGGCAAGCGGTACCGGAGCGCCAAGTCTAGGTCCAAAAGTCTCCTTAACAGCTTCGTCCCCGCTGCCATAAGACCCCCCCTGCAACTCGCTGTTTATTATCTATGCATAGTCACTTTACCCCTACCTACATGTACAAATTACCTCGACTAACCTGTACCCCCGCACATTGACTCGGTACCGGTACCCCCTGTATATAGCCTCATTATTGTTATTTTATTGTGTTATTATTATTGTATATATTTTTTACAGTAGTTTATTTAGTAAATATTTTCTTAACTCTATTTTCTTAAAACTGCATTGTTGGTTAAGGGCTTGTAAGTAAGCATTTTACGGTAAGGTCTACTACACCTGTTGTTTTCGGCGCATGTGAATTGTATGAAAGGTCTGCAATGCTTAAGCATATTGGTTAATCCTCTGTGTAGAGGAGGTGTCACAGTGTCAAGAAACCAATTAACCAATTAACCAATTAGTAATTCCATCACAGAAATGTTTCCCCACGTAGCTGCCCCGCCAATCAACCAAAATTAATTTGTTACTAAGAATTCTACAGTATGTGATGATAACACATATTACCCTATGTACTTGTGTTTTCAAAGTACCTATTGACAAGGGTCTACTTTCTACTACTCGAAGCAGAAGACATAATGTTGACAATCTAATGGTTATAAGACTGACATTATGTGTATGTCATAATATTTTTGCAATAGTTTATAACAAAAAAATGCATGACAAATGACACATCCCTGTTACAATGCATTGAGCTAATATAATATCTTACATTTAACGCCTAGTAACACGGTTATGTCAGTTGTCGTAAGAGTGAAAAGCCCACTATAACCTCTAATAAAAGTGAGAGTAAAAAAGTTTCAGAAACAAAACAGAAACCCTTTCACCAAATCCATCTAGTACTTGTTAGCAGGTGATGTTATTATTTGGGTAATATGGCATAACATATTTCAGTGCTACTGCACATCATCTTTCGGGAAGACTAGGATGGGAAACTATGCAGTAATACAAATACATAAAAGAGGATCACACAATTATTTTATAATGGATACAAATTATACCATATTACCCAAAACGACAGTACAGACCACCACACCAGCGTCTCCAGCAGTACTAAAAGATGACTTATTACGGTTGAAGACACACCACCATGCAGACATCTGGACGACTGCTAACTACTTAGACACTACCAACAGTACATTGTTGGCGATCAACAATGCACTGCCCCCCGACAGCGCAAAATGAGGAAAGATTTAGCTGTGTCATGTACTTGATCCGCAGAGGACAATTGGAGGAAAACGGCGAACAAAATAGTGGACGACCCAAAGAAATGCAATTTTTTGCACAAAACCTTTTATTTTATTTTTAAGAGTCCGTTTTTTGGCTTGTCCTGTACTGTAATTGTTTCTGTAAAAAAAAAAAAAAAGGGAGTACATTGTTGGATATCAACAATGGCGCTGGCAAGCCTTGTTTGTCTCATAGAGATCGGTACCTCGTTCACAGTTTGTGTTAACTGTAGGAGTCAGGGGACTAACGGGGAAAGGGAAGAGGGAATATCCGGTACCTGGTGGGATTGGTACATGATGGTCAGCTTGCAGACTAACACAAACACGAAGAAAAGTAACCCAACTCTTATCCATTTAGTTATATATGCTTTTTCAATGAAGTTACCGTAAATACTGTAGTAGCATTTCTATTTACAATACTTGTGGGGGGGGGGGGTTGTTGAATTGTTGGTTTACATTTGTCATTGGTGTGTGAACCAATTTCTGTATGGATGTTGAATCCCTCTGAATATGCCAAGTGTGGCCTTTGGCAGTAATGGTAGCATGGGTGTCAGATTAGATTGTTTTGCATGTAAAGTGTATGTTGGTTATTTTCACTGAAAAGCATATAAACTGTTTCTATTACTTTTAATAGACACTTTGGGGGAGACATAGTAGGAGCGACAACATCATATTGCTGTAGAAAAACAGTAGGTATTTTCCGCAAATGAAGAAATATATATATATATTTTAAGCATAAGCGGAGTGAAAAAATGTCTGATTTAAGTGGTGTTTAAGGTCATAAACTGAAGGGCAAACATGTACTGGGAAACACATGTTAACAGACAAACAGGTAACAAAGATGAACTTCAGTAGAAACAGGTGGTGAGAGACTAATCATGGGCATGGGACTAACGGGATAATAAGAGGGATAGAGCTGGTTGACATGAGGTAAACATTGCACTGGAAACCAAAACAGGATACAGTAACACTTACATTGGCTTTTCAGAGAGACTAAAACTGTAGAGATTAAAATGACATTGGAAGGGAAGGCATGGGATTGACTGAAATGGTACATACAGGATGGTAACAATGTACATACATGGAGAGACTACTGGACATACCAGATGGCTTGAAAATGGTACAGGAGGATCTAATAAGGATTATACATGAAGTGTAATGGATTCAGGAAAAGAATAAATGTACATAGGATGACTTTAAAAATGGAATAGAGGAGACAAACATGATAAGCAAGTAAGAAAAACATGGTATCTCAGGAGAGAAAAAATAATACAAGCATAACGGGAACAAAGGAAGATGGTTTAACTGAATACAGGAAGGAACAAACTGGAAACAGGAACAGAACAGGTAAGAAAGAGAATACAGAGAACAGGTGTGACAACATGGACATACAGGAAGAGACTAAACATGGACATACAGGAAGAGACTAAACATGGACATACAGGAAGAGACTAAACATGGACATACAGGAAGAGACTAAACATGGACATACAGGAAGAGACAAACCTGGGTATCAAAGGAAGAGACTAAACATGGGCATACAGGAAGAGACTAAACATGGGCATACAGGAAGAGACTAAACATGGGCATACAGGAAGCTACCTAGAAACTATAGATGGACAGGTTGTCTTTGTCTTTACTCACATGTCTTGCAGCATCCATCCATGTAACTTATAATGGTCCCACCAATCTAGGGTAGAGACAACATTCACATCTCAGGGGTTAAAGGTCAACTAAAATAACATCATAGAGAGGTAGTAGTGTTACACAACATGTGTATATGTGTGTGTATGCATGTGTGTGTCTGTGTCTGTCTGTGTGTGTGTGTGTTGTCTGTCTGTCTGTCTGTGTGTGGTGTGTGTGTGTGTGTGTGTGTGTGTTGGTGTGTGGTGTGTGGGTGTGTGTGTGTGTGTGTGTGTGTGTGTGTGTGTGTGTGTGTGTGTGTGTGTGTGTGTGTGTGTGTGTTAACCATACCTTCATACACTCTGTCTGGTTGAAGGGTGGGCAGCTGAAGGAGTAGGACACCAGGGTGGGGCCTGACAGTGTCTCGGTACAGTCATACTTCATACAGTCTGACACCCACGACTTCCCAGGCTGAAACATCAATACAATCACCCAGATCAATCCAATATTACACTACTTTATACACTACTGATTAGATAACCTGAGGGTACCTGGTCTATCCAGAGGGTTGTACCAGGACTGATTAGATAACCTGAGGTTACCTGGTCTATCCAGAGGGTTGTACCGGGACTGATTAGATAACCTGAGGTTACCTGGTCTATCCAGAGGGTTTACAGGGACTGATTAGATAACCTGAGGTTACCTGGTCTATCCAGAGGGTTTACTGGGACTGATTAGATAACCTGAGGGTACCTGGTCTATCCAGAGGGTTGTACCAGGACTGATTAGATAACCTGAGGGTACCTGGTCTATCCAGAGGGTTGTACCAGGACTGATTAGATAACCTGAGGGTACCTGGTCTATCCAGAGGGTTGTACCAGGACTGATTAGATAACCTGAGGGTACCTGGTCTATCCAGAGGGTTGTACCAGGACTGATTAGAAACCTGAGGGTACCTGGTCTATCCAAGGGTTTACCAGGACTGATTAGATAACTGAGGGTACCTGGTCTATCCAGAGGGTTGTGGAGGACTGATGATAACCTGAGGGTACCTGGTTATCCAGAGGGTTTACCAGGACGATTAGATAACCTGAGGTACTGGTCTATCAGAGGTTTACCGGATGATTAGATACCTGAGGTATCTGGTCTATCCAGAGGGTTTACAGTACTGATTAGATAACCTGAGGTATCTGGTCTATCAGAGGGTTGTACCAGGATGATTAGATAACCTGAGGTTACCTGGTATATCCAGAGGTGTGTATACATATTGATTATGTAACTGTGAGGTACCTGGATCTAATATGAGGTTACTGTGTGATTAGTAACTAGTACATGTGAATATAGAGGGTTACAGACTGAATTAGACGAGTACTGCTTTCAGGGTTAGGGATGATTAGAAGGTACCTGGTCTAATCAAGGTACATGAGCTAAAGATTAACTGAGGTGCCGAGGTGAAACCATGAGGTATAAGCTGCTGTACTGGTGTGTAGATCATCCATTCATTGTGAAGAGGGATTTTCAGATACACCCCTGTACTACGCCTGAATGTTAAGGTAAAGATGACACTACGTAATATATATCAGACTTATGAAAATTATAGTACCATTATTAATATTAAATTTTGTAAATGGTAATAGTTAGGTACCTGTATTAATATATATTCAATATAATGTTATAGGTAACTGTTAGTGATTGTTAGGAAGTATGTCATGATATTACTGAGTAATGTTATAAGTAACCATGTATATAATATTCAGATATACTGTATAATAGTTATAGTACCTTATATGATATATATTCGTATACTGTAGTAATAGTTATAGTACCTGTATTATATATATATTCAGATATACTGTAGTAATAGTTATAGTACCTGTATTATATATATATTCAGATATACTGTCGTAATAGTTATAGTACCTTTATTATGATATATATTCAGATATACTGTAGTAATAGTTATAGTACCTGTATTATATATATATTCAGATATACTGTAGTAATAGTTATAGTACCTGTATTATATATATAATCAGATATACTGTAGTAATAGTTATAGTACCTGTATTATATATATATTCAGATATACTGTAGTAATAGTTATAGTACCTGTATTAGAATACTAGCAGTAGGTTAGTAGTAAAGAATTGGGACAGCAGTAGTAGCATTTCTAGCAGTTGAGGTATCAGATCCTAGCAGTCGTATCCTGCTGCTAACTGACTAACCGGCTGACACTGAGCAGAGCAGTTGGTGGTGGTGGCGCGGAGGTGATGGAAGCCTGAGGTGGGATCCAGGCTGTGGGTACACTGGGTGGTGAGACACACCCCTCCTCACTGTGATCCACGAGGGTCTGTCCCGGACGCATAACACCCCGCTCGCCGTACACACACACCGCCTCACGCACTGTAAGAGGTGTGCGACATGACACAGACACATAGATGCATGAATGAACACACATTCATTGAAAAATGTACTGTAGGTGAACACACTTATTGGAAATATATGACATTATTGTAGAATGGGAAAAGGTGGGTTACTGTCTAAGGATAGCCGAGCACTTACCACAGTTAAATCTCTTACAGGAACACTGGTTAGTTGGATCTGATAGGAAGGCCTTGTCCACCTGCATGGCCTCTCCCTAGTAAGACAACATGTCAGCCAGTATACAAGGAGAAACAAACACAGCGATAACGTCAACACATCCCATTCCATCATGTGGAATCATCTTAGAAACCTACCAGAGCACATTTCGGCCGTGACAGTTTCTCACACGCACACTCTGAAAAAAAACAGGGAAACAGAAACCATTTTAAATGTGTGCTTTTTTTTGGGGGGGAATAAATGAATAAAACTACATGAGAGTTACAGCGATTCAACCTAGAGGGCAAACAGGCTGTCGCGTGGTGGAGCAGGACACACATTTCCTGTCATGTGATGGTGGTAAGAAACAGAAAGTCGTGCTACTTTACCGCAGGTCTGTAGGGGACAGCAGCGGTCTGGAGTGGACACTGTGACAGTGGACATCCCCAAGGGACATGAGAACTCAGCACACCGGTACGGCTCACACACTGCACACACACAGAGGAATCAGAGACACAATAAGTGAATGTGAGTGTGTGTGTGTGTGTGTATGTGTGTGTGTGTGTGTGTGTGTGTATGTATGCGTGTATGTGTGTGTGTGTGTGTGTGTGTGTATGTATGCGTGTGTGTGTGTGTGTGTGTGTGTTGAACTCACCACAGTGGTAGACAGGACAGCAGCGGTCTGTACTGTTGGCGTCCACCGTCAACACCTCTCCATCCTGGCAATTTGGAACCACCTCCCAACAGGCACCACACACTGGAGAAAGAACACACATTAACACACTGGAGAAAGAACACATTAACACACTGGAGAAAGAACACATCAACACACTGGAGAAAGAACACATTAACACACTGGAGAAAGAACACATCAACACACTGGAGAAAGAACACACATTAACACACTGGAGAAAGAACACATTAACACACTGGAGAAAGAACACACATTAACACACTGGAGAAAGAACACATCAACACACTGGAGAAAGAACACATTAACACACTGGAGAAAGAACACACATTAACACACTGGAGAAAGAACACATCAACACACTGGAGAAAGAACACACATTAACACACTGGAGAAAGAACACATTAACACACTGGAGAAAGAACACACATCAACACACTGGAGAAAGAACACATTAACACACTGGAGAAAGAACACATTAACACACTGGAGAAAGAACACATTAACACACTGGAGAAAGAACACATTAACACACTGGAGAAAGAACACATCAACACACTGGAGAAAGAACACATCAACACACTGGAGAAAGAACACATTAACACACTGGAGAAAGAACACATTAACACACTGGAGAAAGAACACATCAACACACTGGAGAAAGAACACACATCAACACACTGGAGAAAGAACACATTAACACACTGGAGAAAGAACACATTAACACACTGGAGAAAGAACACATTAACACACTGGAGAAAGAACACATCAACACACTGGAGAAAGGAACACATTAACACACTGGAGAAAGAACACATCAACACACTGGAGAAAGAACACATCAACACACTGGAGAAAGAACACATTAACACACTGGAGAAAGAACACATTAACACACTGGAGAAAGAACACATCAACACACTGGAGAAAGAACACATCAACACACTGGAGAAAGAACACATCAACACACTGGAGAAAGAACATATCAACACACTGGAGAAAGAACACATCAACACACTGGAGAAAGAACACATCAACACACTGGAGAAAGAACACATCAACACACTGGAGAAAGAACACACATTAACACACTGGAGAAAGAACACATCAACACACTGGAGAAAGAACACACATTAACACACTGGAGAAAGAACACATCAACACACTGGAGAAAGAACACACATTAACACACTGGAGAAAGAACACATTAACACACTGGAGAAAGAACACACATTAACACACTGGAGAAAGAACACATTAACACACTGGAGAAAGAACACATCAACACACTGGAGAAAGAACACACATCAACACACTGGAGAAAGAACACACATCAACACACTGGAGAAAGAACACATTAACACACTGGAGAAAGAACACATTAACACACTGGAGAAAGAACACACATTAACACACTGGAGAAAGAACACATTAACACACTGGAGAAAGAACACATCAACACACTGGAGAAAGAACACACATCAACACACTGGAGAAAGAACACATTAACACACTGGAGAAAGAACACATTAACACACTGGAGAAAGAACACATCAACACACTGGAGAAAGAACACATCAACACACTGGAGAAAGAACACACATCAACACACTGGAGAAAGAACACATCAACACACTGGAGAAAGAACACATCAACACACTGGAGAAAGAACACACATCAACACACTGGAGAAAGAACACATCAACACACTGGAGAAAGAACACATTAACACACTGGAGAAAGAACACATTAACACACTGGAGAAAGAACACACATCAACACACTGGAGAAAGAACACATTAACACACTGGAGAAAGAACACACATCAACACACTGGAGAAAGAACACATTAACACACTGGAGAAAGAACACATCAACACACTGGAGAAAGAACACACATCAACACACTGGAGAAAGAACACACATCAACACACTGGAGAAAGAACACACATTAACACACTGGAGAAAGAACACATCAACACACTGGAGAAAGAACACATCAACACACTGGAGAAAGAACACACATCAACACACTGGAGAAAGAACACATCAACACACTGGAGAAAGAACACATTAACACACTGGAGAAAGAACACATCAACACACTGGAGAAAGAACACATCAACACACTGGAGAAAGAACACACATCAACACACTGGAGAAAGAACACACATCAACACACTGGAGAAAGAACACATCAACACACTGGAGAAAGAACACATCAACACACTGGAGAAAGAACACATCAACACACTGGAGAAAGAACACATTAACACACTGGAGAAAGAACACATTAACACACTGGAGAAAGAACACATTAACACACTGGAGAAAGAACACATTAACACACTGGAGAAAGAACACATCAACACACTAGAGAAAGAACACATTAACACACTGGAGAAAGAACACACATCAACACACTGGAGAAAGAACACATCAACACACTGGAGAAAGAACACACATTAACACACTGGAGAAAGAACACATCAACACACTGGAGAAAGAACACATTAACACACTGGAGAAAGAACACACATTAACACACTGGAGAAAGAACACATTAACACACTGGAGAAAGAACACATCAACACACTGGAGAAAGAACACATTAACACACTGGAGAAAGAACACACATTAACACACTGGAGAAAGAACACATTAACACACTGGAGAAAGAACACATCAACACACTAGAGAAAGAACACATTAACACACTGGAGAAAGAACACACATCAACACACTGGAGAAAGAACACATTAACACACTGGAGAAAGAACACATTAACACACTGGAGAAAGAACACATCAACACACTGGAGAAAGAACACATCAACACACTGGAGAAAGAACACATTAACACACTGGAGAAAGAACACATTAACACACTGGAGAAAGAACACATTAACACACTGGAGAAAGAACACATTAACACACTGGAGAAAGAACACATCAACACACTGGAGAAAGAACACATCAACACACTGGAGAAAGAACACACATTAACACACTGGAGAAAGAACACATCAACACACTGGAGAAAGAACACACACCACAGTTTGACAGAAAAACACGTAACGTTAACAATGTGTGTGATGGCATGACAAATAATTGTATTGTGGTTATGTGTGGGATGGTGCAGGTCTGTCATGGTTGTGTTGTGGTTATGGTTGTGGTTATGTTGTGGTCATGATTGTGTTGTGGTTATGTTGTGGTTGTGTTGTGGTTGTGTTGTGGTTATGTTGTGGTTGTGTTGTGGTTGTGTTGTAGTTATGTTGTGGTTGTGTTGTGGTTATGTTGTGGTCATGGTCGTGGTTGTGTTGTGGTTGTGTTGTGGTCATGTTGTGGTCGTGGTTGTGTTGTGGTTGTGTTGTGGTTATGTTGTGGTTGTGTTGTGGTTGTGTTGTGGTTATGTTGTGGTTGTGTTGTGGTTATGTTGTGTCGTGGTTGTGTCGTGGTTGTGTTGTGGTTATGTTGTGGTCGTGGTTGTGTTGTGGTTGTGTTGTGTTGTTGTGGTTATGTTGTGTTGTGGTTATGTTGTTGTGTTGTGGTTATGTTGTGGTTGTGTTGTGGTTGTGTTGTGGTTATGTTGTGTTGTGGTTATGTTGTGGTCGTGGTTGTGTTGTGGTTGTGTTGTGGTTATGTTGTGGTCGTGGTTAACTCACTACAGATGTGTGCCAGGCAGCAGCTGCCATCAGCCCTGGTTGCGATGAGGGTCTGGTCCTCTCTGCAGGCAGGGATATCTGACTCACAGCGCTCTGGGTCACACTCTGTACACAACACACACACCACATATTTTAAACATATTCAATCCATATTTCCAATATATTCAATGCACTTCGTCTATACAGTATATTAGTGGAATTTACTTTACAGGGACAATGCACAATAAACATAATTAATTAAACATCTAATTATCATGTAAGTCACTATGGATAAGAGCGTCTGCTAAATGACTAAAATGTAAAATGTAAAAAAATGTATCTCCATGACCTAGTATCTTCATATAGCCTAGTATCATCATATAGCCTGGTATCATCATATAGCCTGGTATCATCATATAGTCTAGTATCATCATATAGCCTGGTATCATCAGATAGTCTAGTATCATCATATAGCCTGGTATCATCAGATAGCCTAGTATCATCATATAGTCTAGTATCATCATATAGCCTGGTATCATCATATAGTCTAGTATCATCATATAGTCTAGTATCATCATATAGCCTAGTATCATCATATAGTCTAGTATCATCATATAGCCTGGTATCATCATATAGTCTAGTATCATCATATAGCCTGGTATCATCATATAGCCTGGTATCATCATATAGCCTGGTATCATCATATAGTCTAGTATCATCATATAGCCTGGTATCATCATATAGTCTAGTATCATCATATAGCCTGGTATCATCATATAGCCTGGTATCATCATATAGTCTAGTATCATCATATAGTCTAGTATCATCATATAGTCTAGTATCATCATATAGCCTAGTATCATCATATAGTCTAGTATCATCATATAGTCTAGTATCATCATATAGTCTAGTATCATCATATAGCCTAGTATCATCATATAGTCTAGTATCATCATATAGTCTAGTATCATCATATAGTCTAGTATCATCATATAGCCTAGTATCATCATATAGTCTAGTATCATCATATAGTCTAGTATCATCATATAGTCTAGTATCATCATATAGCCTAGTATCATCATATAGCCTGGTATCATCATATAGTCTAGTATCATCATATAGCCTGGTATCATCATATAGTCTAGTATCATCATATAGTCTAGTATCATCATATAGCCTGGTATCATCATATAGTCTAGTATCATCATATAGCCTGGTATCATCATATAGTCTAGTATCATCATATAGCCTAGTATCATCATATAGTCTAGTATCATCATATAGTCTAGTATCATCATATAGCCTAGTATCATCATATAGCCTGGTATCATCATATAGCCTGGTATCATCATATAGCCTGGTATCATCATATATTCTAGTATCATCATATAGTCTAGTATCATCATATAGCCTGGTATCATCATATAGTCTAGTATCATCATATAGCCTAGTATCATCATATAGTCTAGTATCATCATATAGTCTAGTATCATCATATAGCCTGGTATCATCATATAGCCTGGTATCATCATATAGCCTGGTATCATCATATAGTCTAGTATCATCATATAGTCTAGTATCATCATATAGCCTGGTATCATCATATAGCCTGGTATCATCATATAGTCTAGTATCATCATATAGCCTAGTATCATCATATAGCCTGGTATCATCATATAGTCTAGTATCATCATATAGCCTGGTATCATCATATAGTCTAGTATCATCATATAGCCTGGTATCATCATATAGCCTGGTATCATCATATAGTCTAGTATCATCATATAGCCTGGTATCATCATATAGTCTAGTATCATCATATAGCCTGGTATCATCATATAGTCTAGTATCATCATATAGTCTAGTATCATCATATAGCCTGGTATCATCATAGTCTAGTATCATCATATAGCCTGGTATCATCATAGTCTAGTATCATCATATAGCCTGGTATCATCATATAGCCTAGTATCATCATATAGTCTAGTATCATCATATAGTCTAGTATCATCATATAGTCTAGTATCATCATATAGCCTGGTATCATCATATAGTCTAGTATCATCATATAGTCTAGTATCATCATATAGCCTGGTATCATCATATAGCCTAGTATCATCATATAGCCTGGTATCATCATAGTCTAGTATCATCATATAGCCTGGTATCATCATATAGCCTGGTATCATCATATAGTCTAGTATCATCATATAGTCTAGTATCATCATATAGCCTGGTATCATCATATAGTCTAGTATCATCATATAGCCTGGTATCATCATATAGTCTAGTATCATCATATAGTCTAGTATCATCATATAGTCTAGTATCATCATATAGCCTGGTATCATCATATAGCCTAGTATCATCATATAGTCTAGTATCATCATATAGTCTAGTATCATCATATAGTCTAGTATCATCATATAGTCTAGTATCATCATATAGTCTAGTATCATCATATAGCCTGGTATCATCATATAGTCTAGTATCATCATATAGCCTAGTATCATCATATAGCCTAGTATCATCATATAGCCTGGTATCATCATATAGCCTAGTATCATCATATAGTCTAGTATCATCATATAGTCTAGTATCATCATATAGCCTGGTATCATCATATAGTCTAGTATCATCATATAGTCTAGTATCATCATATAGCCTAGTATCATCATATAGCCTGGTATCATCATATAGTCTAGTATCATCATATAGTCTAGTATCATCATATAGTCTAGTATCATCATATAGCCTAGTATCATCATATAGTCTAGTATCATCATATAGCCTAGTATCATCATATAGTCTAGTATCATCATATAGTCTAGTATCATCATATAGCCTGGTATCATCATATAGCCTGGTATCATCATATAGCCTAGTATCATCATATAGTCTAGTATCATCATATAGTCTAGTATCATCATATAGTCTAGTATCATCATATAGCCTGGTATCATCATATAGCCTAGTATCATCATATAGTCTAGTATCATCATATAGTCTAGTATCATCATATAGCCTGGTATCATCATATAGTCTAGTATCATCATATAGCCTAGTATCATCATATAGCCTAGTATCATCATATAGTCTAGTATCATCATATAGCCTGGTATCATCATATAGTCTAGTATCATCATATAGCCTGGTATCATCATATAGCCTGGTATCATCATATAGCCTGGTATCATCATATAGTCTAGTATCATCATATAGTCTAGTATCATCATATAGCCTAGTATCATCATATAGCCTGGTATCATCATATAGTCTAGTATCATCATATAGCCTGGTATCATCATATAGCCTAGTATCATCATATAGCCTAGTATCATCATATAGTCTAGTATCATCATATAGCCTGGTATCATCATATTGCCTGGTATCATCATATAGCCTGGTATCATCATATAGCCTAGTATCATCATATAGCCTAGTATCATCATATAGTCTAGTATCATCATATAGTCTAGTATCATCATATAGTCTAGTATCATCATATAGTCTAGTATCATCATATAGTCTAGTATCATCATATAGCCTAGTATCATCATATAGTCTAGTATCATCATATAGCCTAGTATCATCATATAGTCTAGTATCATCATATAGCCTAGTATCATCATATAGTCTAGTATCATCATATAGTCTAGTATCATCATATAGCCTAGTATCATCATATAGCCTAGTATCATCATATAGTCTGGTATCATCATATAGCCTGGTATCATCATATAGTCTAGTATCATCATATAGCCTGGTATCATCAGATAGCCTAGTATCATCATATAGCCTGGTATCATCAGATAGCCTAGTGGTGGTGATTATACAGAAGAAAGGTCCACTCACCACAGACGTAGTCTGGACAGCAGGAGTCCTCTCTGAAGTAAGACACCAGCTTCTCTCCATATTGACACTCCGGGGGGATGATGTCACACAGGGTATGGTTACAAACTGGATGACAGACAGACAGACAGACAGACAGACAGACAGACAGACAGACAGACAGACAGAGGAACACCATCAGATCAATACAAACCAATCACAATACATCACGGCCATCTAATCACCCTTCCTAAATTGTGAAAGTGGAACTCAAGTTCCTGTTGACATTGAGTTGAGCTCTCAACTCTTCAAGTTCCTTCACAGTTGTTTTCAAGGCCATCAGTTTAATTATTTTTGAGTAGAGTCAACGTGTGACAGTCTTACTGCAGGCTTTCATAGGACAGCAGCCGACGTTTGCTAAGTTGCTTCACGTTACCTGGTTGAACCAACTATGTTTTAGGTTAACCTAACTTGAATTTGACAGTGTACTGTACAATGTGGCAGTTTCTTACTGCAGGCTTTCTGTGGGCAGCAGGAAGTGTCGTCTGCCAGACTGAGTACCACTTCCCCGGCCCTGCGGCAGAGCGGCTGAGGCACGGCAGAACAGTTATACTCCACGGGCACGATACTGTCGTTGTCACAGCGGTACATACAGCAGCCATCTTTAGACGCTTTCCACACCTCACCAGGAGCACGGGGTGCACCCCAACTGTCCGTACAGGCTGGGGGAGACACACACAGATAACAATGTATTGAAGTGGAAGATGTATTTTCACTTTCATCCACAACAGTCATTAATCAGATGCTCTTATTCAGCGTGATTTACAATAAGTGCATTCCACTAAAGACCAGACCAGACCAGACCAGACCAGACCGAACCGGGTGCTTTGTATCATATGAATTTTGACCAGTGTTGGTTTGATTGTCTGTGCGATGCGGAGGTTGATCAGTGAAGGCTTACCACACTTCTCAGGGGGGATGCAGAGGGCAGAGTAGGGTCGATGGAGCAGAGTGCCCTCAGGACAGACACATCCCTCCGTCAGGCCTGAACACTGCTCAGGGTCGTAGTCAAAGTCATGGTTGGAGCAGGACTGGGCTGTACAAGCAGGCAGACAGGCCTGGTAACGCAGCTGGTCTGGACATATGAAGGCTGGGACAGGAGAGGAGAGACAACACTGCTTTAAACTGGTCATAAACATTATCATAACCACGACAGGCGGCAGAGCTTGATTCAGTATTATTTGTATGTGATGCAAAGAACTTAATTGTCCATAATTCAGAACTTTGCCTTTTGCTTTACACAATAACATTGACTGACATTAAAACATCATACTGTAAGTGTATTGACTGACATTAAAACATTATACTGTAAGTGTATTGACTGACATTAAAACATTATACTGTAAGTGTATTGACTGACATTAAAACATGATACTGTAAGTGTATTGACTGACATTAAAACGTTATACTGTAAGTGTATTGACTGACATTAAAACATTATACTGTAAGTGTATTGACTGACATTAAAACATGATACTGTAAGTGTATTGACTGACATTAAAACGTTATACTGTAAGTATATTGACTGACATTAAAACATGATACTGTAAGTGTATTGACTGACATTAAAACATGGTACTGTAAGTGTATTGACTGTCATTAAAACATTATACTCTAAGTGTATTGACTGACATTAAAACATGATACTGTAAGTATATTGACTGACATTAAAACATGATACTGTAAGTGTATTGACTGACATTAAAACATTATACTGTAAGTGTATTGACTGACATTAAAACATTATACTGTAAGTGTATTGACTGACATTAAAACATGATACTGTAAGTGTATTGACTGACATTAAAACGTTATACTGTAAGTGTATTGACTGACATTAAAACATTATACTGTAAGTGTATTGACTGACATTAAAACATGATACTGTAAGTGTATTGACTGACATTAAAACATGATACTGTAAGTATATTGACTGACATTAAAACATGATACTGTAAGTGTATTGACTGACATTAAAACATGGTACTGTAAGTGTATTGACTGTCATTAAAACATTATACTCTAAGTGTATTGACTGACATTAAAACATGATACTGTAAGTATATTGACTGACATTAAAACATGATACTGTAAGTGTATTGACTGACATTAAAACATTATACTGTAAGTGTATTGACTGTCATTAAAACATTATACTGTAAGTGTATTGACTGGCATTAAAACATGATACTGAAAGTATATTGACTGACATTAAAACATGATACTGTAAGTGTATTGACTGACATTAAAACATGATACTGTAAGTATATTGACTGACATTAAAACATGATACTGTAAGTGTATTGACTGACATTAAAACATTATACTGTAAGTGTATTGACTGACATTAAAACATGATACTGTAAGTATATTGACTGACATTAAAACATGATACTGTAAGTGTATTGACTGACATTAAAACATTATACTGTAAGTGTATTGACTGACATTAAAACATGATACTGTAAGTGTATTGACTGACATTAAAACATTATACTGTAAGTATATTGACTGACATTAAAACATGATACTGTAAGTGTATTGACTGACATTAAAACATGGTACTGTAAGTGTATTGACTGACATTAAAACATGATACTGTAAGTGTATTGACTGACATTAAAACATGGTACTGTAAGTGTATTGACTGACATTAAAACATGATACTGTAAGTGTATTGACTGACATTAAAACATGATACTGTAAGTGTAAGTGCCTTTATGTGTCTGACTGTGCTTGTAAGCCATGCTGGCAGTTAGTGCAGTACAATAAACCCAGTCCTTACGGCAGTAGTCTGGGCTCCTCCACTCGATGCAGACATTGAACTTGTGACAAGATGCCACGTAGGCAGCCAGCGCTACACACGGGTTGTTCACGTACTCCACATCACGGACCCACACCTCACAGAACGTACTGGGTAGAACCTGCAGTACATTATAAGAAACACAACATAACGTTTTCAATCATCTTGTTCCATGTTTAAACATCTACAGTACTGTATTGGGGTGGGGGGGGGGGGGGGTACTGTACGATGAGGGAGAGAGAGGCAGTGAACCTACAAAAGCATGGCAGGGGCTGAAGGAGGTGTTTCGGAGCATGGCCATGCACTGGGAACAGTCGCTGGTGGAACAGTTGACTTCTCTGCGCCGGCTGTGGCTGATGTAACTAGTGGTGTTGGGGACCTGCCAGCTGTCGATGAACACCGCTGGGTCCTCGCTCTCCCCGACTGTCGTCCCATTGGACAGCATCAGGTCATTGGCTGGGTTACCATCACAGCGGCCTGGTGGGGGGGGGGGCAGAAGATGAAACAGCGTTATTATTTCAGGAATGGCACGTTCACCTCTGAAACACGCACAACATCTCAGTGACCCTAATCAATCCATGGCCCCTACTTTATCTATGGCCCCTTCTCAATCTAAGGCCCCTACTCAACCTTCCTGAATGGTTATAGCAGGTGAGGTCTTATGTTTCATCCCAAATGGCTCCCTGTCCCTAGTGCACTACCTTTGACCAAGGCCCGGGCAAAATGAGTGGTATAAATATGGAATAGGGTACCATTTGGGAAGCAGCCTATAACCAGCCTCCATATCACACTCCACTTCAAATGGATGCCAGTGTCCTGGTAAGCCATATACCAGTGTCCTGGTAAGCCACATACCAGTGTCCTGGTAAGCCACATGCCAGTGTCCTGGTAAGCCACATGCCAGTGTCCTGGTAAGCCACATGCCAGTGTCCTGGTAAGCCACATGCCAGTGTCCTGGTAAGCCACATGCCAGTGTCCTGGTAAGCCACATGCCAGTGTCCTGGTAAGCCACATGCCAGTATCCTGGTAAGCCACATGCCAGTGTCCTGGTAAGCCACATGCCAGTGTCCTGGTAAGCCACATGCCAGTGTCCTGGTAAGCCACATGCCAGTGTCCTGGTAAGCCACATACCAGTGTCCTGGTAAGCCACATGCCAGTGTCCTGGTAAGCCACATGCCAGTGTCCTGGTAAGCCACATGCCAGTGTCCTGGTAAGCCACATGCCAGTGTCCTGGTAAGGTCTAACTACACCACATACCACAGAGGCCCATGGTGGGCAGTTTATTGCTGTAGCTCTCCGTCTCGATGACCATCATGCCCGTGCTGTGGAACCACTGCAGTTTCAGGCCCGCTGGCGTACGGATCAGATACATGTTGCCCGTGTCCAGGATCTCAAAGCCAAACTTCTTGAACCTCGGCTTGGCGTACCTCGAGTTCACATACAGCTGAGAGAGAGAGAAAATAAATGTCAAAATTCTATATGTTGAGGGGTACTGTAGTTCTAAATACATTTCCTAAAATAGATAGGCCTAGAAATGCTACTGTGTGTATGGCAAGTTAATTAACATCTCATCCCTTGTTAGGTCTTTGGTGAACTCTTTACGTCATTTAGCAGACGCTCTTATCTAGAGCGACTTACAGGAGCAATTAGGGTTAAGTGCCTTGCTCAAGGGCACGTCGACAGATTTTTCACCTAGTCGGCTCGGGGATTAGAACCAGCGACCTTTCTGGTTACTGGCACGACGCTCTTAACCGCCAAGTTACCTACCGCCCCAGGTTTACATTGACTTAGTATGTGTCTTTCTGTCCATAGTTAAATTGGTGAATGAAGGGCTATTTAGACTGAGAGAGACAGGAAGAGATGAAGAAGAAGAGATAAAGGAACAGACTGACCCTCCGCTGCAGTCTGTTGATGACCAGGTGGTTGGACTTGTGGGTAATGTTCAAAACCACCAGACACAGGTTGGTGAAATTCCACAGCAGCTTCGGATGGAAACAGAAAAATAAACATTCTTATTACTTTTTGTGTTTTTCGATTTACAAAGTTTAAGACTCTCTAATAAAATGGATTAAAGTCATATACAACTACTCGACATGTGAAAGAATAATGAATAATGATCATTTCCTGAGAATATTACATGATATATGGGTGTAAGACAAGGATGTCCTTCACCACCATATTGATGTATTATGGCCACTGAAATACTTGCTGTAAAGGTACTGTAGATACAGTATATGGCCTCACTGTGTCTGAGGCGGCCATTTTGGGGACACCGGTATTACAGTTACCTACTGTAAAGTCTATAGCTTCATGGCCTCACTTTCTCTGAGGCGGCCATTTTGGGGACACCGGGGTTACAGTCACCTACTGTAAAGTCTATAGCTTCATGGCCTCACTTACTCTGAGGCGGCCATTTTGGGGGCACCGGGGTTACAGTTACCTACTGTAAAGTCTATAGCTTCATGGTCTCACTTACTCTGAGGCGGCCATTTTGGGGGCACCGGGATTACAGTTACCTAACGTAGCCTTGGTCCTCACCGTGTCTGAGTCAGCGGGGCATTCCTGGACCACGATGCTGATGGTCTCGTTGGGCAGCTGGGTCACGATGTAGGCGGTGGCCTTGTAGAGGGCCACGCTGTTACCATCAAACGTGATCACGTTCAGGTCGGGGAACACTGAGCAGCGACCTGGAGGAGACAGGACAACACCAGTGAGAAACAGGACACTACGAGTGAGAAACGCTTGACGGGGAGGGTGTGTGTGTGTGTGTGTGCGTGTGTGTGCATCAGTGGAGGCTGGTGGGAGGAGCTATAGGAGGACGGGCTTGTTGTAGCGGCTGGAATGGAATTCATGGAACGGTATCAAACACATGGAAACCACATTTGCCTCCCTTCCCTTAATTCCATTCCAGCCGTTACAACGAGTCCTCCTATAGCTCCTCCCACCAGCCTCCACTGGTGGGCGTGTGTGTGTGTGTCTGCTCCTGTAAATGTGTGCAGGCTAGCAGTTGTCCTCACATGGGCAGTCCCACTGCGGGCAGCACTTGTCCCCGTTGACCAGGACGGCGAAACCGAGCAGGCCGCAGTTAGGAGGGGTGGAGTTATACAGACAGTTCTGGGACATGTTGAATAGGACCAGCTGGCCGCTCACACAGAGGTACTTGGTACACTCATCTACGATCTCCGAATAGGGAGGCTGAGAGGGGAAAGAACAACAGTTACTACAGGAACAGACTGAACAACGTGCTATACAGTTTACTGAACGAAAACAAAGATCAAGACGTTCACGAGAGTTAAACCATGTACGAACAAGCAGTTAGAAGACTGTAGAGAGTTAGTAAACAGGGTAGTAGGCTGAGACGACTAGGGTAGTATAATAATAATAATAATATGCCATTTAGCAGACGCTTTTATCCAAAGCGACTTACAGTCGTGCGTGCATACATTTTTGTGTATGGGTGGTCCCGGGGATCGAACCCACTACCCTGGCGTTACAAGCGCCGTGCTCTACCAGCTGAGCTACAGAGGGACCACTAGTAGTCTGAGACGACAGAGCCTACAGAGAGGCCTGGACTTTTCAGATAGTTACAAGGATGAGCCTACATAGAGAAGAGCTCTCGTCTAGACGGACAGAGGAGAAGAGAGGAACGGAGAGAGGACTTGGTATACTCACAGTACACATCCTGGTTGAGGACACTGCCATGGATGTAGTAACCTCTGCCGTAGGTCCGACACGCTCTGTCGTGGTATATGGGGACACTACCGATGGTGACGGGGTTGTCTCTGATGTGGTATACGGGGACACTGGTGATAGCGATGGAGTCTTTGGTGTAGTGGTGTCTACGCTGTCCACTCTCTCTGGCTCTGTAGTGGAGGGCGGGGTGGCAGTCGGGGTCAAGGCGGGGACTGAGGAAGCTGCTGTCACCTCTGGCGTGACCTTCGGTGTGACCCCTGGAGTGGCTGCGACCTCTGTAGAGGTCAGCAGGTCAGGCGAAGGAGTCCTTGTTGTTGTTGTTGTTGTGCCCCCAGTGGCTGCTGGAGTTACCCCTGTCTCTCTGGTGCTGGATGGTACTATTCCTTCTGGTGTAGTAGTGGTGGATGTGGATGGTTCTGCGGTCACTCCTGTGGGTCCTGTGGGGACCGCGGTCATGCTGGGAACGGGAACAGAAGCGGTTGTGGTTGTGCCAGTGCCGGTTGGACCGGCAGCGCTGCTAACGTCTGCTGCATATTCTGTGGTTCTGGCAGTGGTGACCGGTTTGGTCGTGGTACGAGCGGTCGTGGTCGGAACAACCGCTGAGACGGTAGCTGTGCCCAGGCTAGGAGTAGCGACTGTAGGAGGACCGGGTGTGGTCGTCGCTGTCGGAACCCCCGGAACTCCCGGAGTCCTTGCGTCTACAGTTACCCTATCAGTGCTCGGTCTGGCGGTGGACCTCACCGTTGTGGCGGTTCTGGATGTCGTCACGGGAACCCTGCCTGTTGTTGTCCTGTGTGTTGTTGTCATTGGTCTGTGGGTGGTCTTGGTCGTTGAGGGGGCTGCGGTAGTGGAGACCACTTTAGAAGTAGAAACAACTCTGGTAGTGACTCTCTCTGGGTGGCTAGTGGGTCTGGGGGCTGACGTGGAGGAGGCGGAGGAGGGGGTTGTGGTCACTGGACCAGACCAGGAAGAAGTTGGTTCTTGTGTAGTTGTTGTGGCAGTAGTAGAGGATACCTCCACCCTTCCTGTATCCGGAGGGACGCTAGTGGTCTCTGTTAGCGGTCGGATGGTCACCGGTCTGATGGCAGTGGTCACTGGGACACCAGGCACAGGTGTGACGATGGTCGTATGGACACCAGGTAAAGGTGGGACAGTTGTTGTGGGGACCGTGGTGGTGAGAGGTAACGCTGGTTCCCCAGGTACACCAGGTACGGTTGGGGGTTCGGGTGTCGCAGGAGGTCTCTCCGTCCTGGAGGTTGAAACTGCGGAGGTTGAAGTCTCGGCCGGAGCTGCGGTGGTTTTGGCAGTGGTCGTCATGGTAACTGAGGTTGTTGTGGTGATGCCTGGCTCCGTAGATGTAGCAACAGGGTGAAGTGCATCAGTGGTGGTAGTGGAGATGACATGGTGTGGAGAGACCACTAGTTCTGTACTGACGTCAGGTTTCACTGGGACCTCAGGTGTGGTTACCCTCTCTGTGCTAGAGATAGGGGTGGAAGGGGTGGAGGAGGTTTCGCTGTGGGGGGGCCTCCAAGGCGCCGTGGTCTTCAGTGTGGTGGGGGGCTGGGTCGTTCCGGTCCCTACAGCCACTGGTGTTCCTGGCACGGTCGTGGTGGTCTCTGTTGGTGAAACCGGTGATACAGGTGATGTGGTTGAGGTTGTGGTTGGGACCACTGCTCCTGTTGTGGTCGAGACGGAAGGAGAGGTGAAGGTGGTCTGGGTGGACTCTGCTGTGGTCGAGATGGAAGGAGAGATAGAGAGGGTGGTCTGGGTGGACTCTGTGGTCGAGATGGAAGGAGAGATGGAGAGGGTGGTCTGGGTGGACTCTGTGGTCGTTACCACAGCCTCTGGAGGTTTGGTGGTTGTACCAGAGATTTCTGGTGGGATGGGTTGAGTTGTTGTGGTTCGTACGGTCGGGGGACCGGCAGTAGTTGTAGTGGTCAGTCTCCAGTCCACATCTTTGGTTGGGTATGCGGTTGTGGTTGTGTGTTCTGTGGTTCTCTCTGTGGTTGGAACACCGCCGGACCAGGAGGTCCTTTCAGTGTAGGCCGTAGCTGTTGTTCTCGGTTGAGATGTTGCTGTCACCGTGTCTGTGACCATCACAGGTGCGACTACAGCCGTCGTCATGGTTATACGGGTCGTTGCCAAGGGTTCCGCTGTTGCCGTGGAGACCGGTGCTCTCGTTGTTTTCTTGGTTGCTGCCGGCTGTTCTGAGGTGGGGCCGGTTGATATTGTTGTTGTCGTTAGCAGCATGGGAACAGCGGTGGTAGTCGGTAGCTCGGGAACATGAGTTGTGGATGTCCTCAGCTCTTTAGGGGAGGTGTGAACGGTCTTCTCTGTGGTTACCGTGGAGACGAGTGGTGGTGTTGTCTCTGGGCGTATGGACGGTGTAGTTCCGAGGGTAGTGAAAGGGGTGACTGGTGAGGTTGATAATGTGGTGTGTTTTGAAGTGGGTTCTGGTGGTGGTGGTGTTGTTGTTACGGTGTGAACGGTGGAGGTCGGTGAGAGAGAGGGTACTATGGTAACGGCTGTAGTCGATGCACCAGGAGGGAGGGCTTCGGTTGTTGTTGTCTCCGTTGTCTCCACAGTTACAGGTTTTGTGCTTGTCTCTGTGGGTGCACCAGGGGTGGTTATAGAGGCTGTAGTCCTGGCTGTAGTCCTAGCTGTGTCCCTGGGTGTCTCTGAGACTGTGGTTGGCCGTGGACTAGAGGTGGTTGAGACTGGAGCCACCGTGTCTCCTGGACGTGTGGTGGCCTTGGTGGTCACCCTGGTGGGGGGGACTGGTATTGCAGGCAGGGTGCTGGTCTGAGTAGGCCCCACGGTGGAGCTTATCCAGGGGCCCATGACAGTGGATGGAGGGGGGCTGGTGAATGTGGTGTCTGTAGGCCCTGGGCGTAGAGAGGGCCTGGTGGTGGAGGACGTGAGCCAGAACAAAGCTGTGATAGAGAAGGGGACCTGGCTGGTCCTCTCTGTGCTGGGACCTACGGGGCTGAGAGTGGAGCTGGGGGCCCCGCTCGTCCTCTCTGTACTGCCTGCTGTAGTGGAGGGTAAGGCTGGAGTCTTCACTGTAGATACAACCTCCGCCCCCTCCACCACCTCAGGTCTGACTGTAGTGGCCAGGGATGGAGTTGGGGGTGATGCTGCTGCGCTGGTCCCCTCTGGAGTCGGTACGGCTGATGAAGAGGTGCTGGGTGGAACCACCTTATCAGTCACTGTGGTCGGTACCTTAGCAGAGGTGGTCAGAGCATCCAAAGCAGAAGTTGAAACAGTACGAGTGGTGGTGGTGGCTGCAGTGGTGGGGCCTGTGCCTGAAGGGGTGGTGGTGTAGGGAGGCTGAATGGAGGTGGTGGTGAGGGGGCCAGGGGGACCCGGGGTGCTGGGCGAGGGGGTGGAGCGTGCCGTGGAGAGGCCAGGGCTAGCCGGGCTGCTGGTAGTGGTGGTGGTAGTGGTGGTGGTGGTGGTGGCTGAAGGAGTGACAGCTGCAGGTGTTGACTCAACGCTACTGACCGTAGTGATGGGCTGCACAGCAACTGGTGGCTTAATGCCTAGAGCACAAACAAAGAAACAACTGTTAGATAACCACTGCTGCTGGCCTAGGGGAGATAGAGAGGGGGAAGAGAGGGGAGAGAGAACAGGAGAGAGAAAGAGAGAGAGAGAGAGAGAGAGAGAGAGAGAGAGAGAGAGAGAGAGAGAGAGAGAGAGAGAGAGAGAGAGAGAGAGAGAGAGAGAGAGAGAGAGAGAGAGAAAGAAAGAGAGAGAGAGAGAGAGAGAGAGAGAGAGAGAGAGAGAGAGAGAGAGAGACAGAGAGAGAGAGAGAGAGAGAGAGAGAGAGAGAGAGAGAGAGTAGCAGAAGGAGAGTGATCCATTCCTCCCCTGTGGCCAAACTTCAACCACACAGCACATGGCTCATGTTGATGTTAGATTAGAGTTGTTCAACCACACAGCTCATGGCTCAAGGCTCATGTTGATGGTAGACTAGATTGTTGATCTTGATTAAACAGATGTTAGTTGTGAATATATCAGCGTCTCAGAAATGTGATACAATACTGTAATTATCTTGTTATGTATTCAGAGATCTTGAGGTAAGCCCAATAACACGTGCACGGGGTATGTTTCATGTGACCTTTACATGTATGAGTGGGTTGTTGAGGAGAGGAGAGGAGAGGAGAGGAGAGGAGAGGAGAGGAGAGGAGAGGAGAGGAGAGGAGAGGAGAGGAGAGGAGAGGAGAGGAGAGGAGAGGAGAGGAGAGGAGAGGAGAGGAGAGGAGAGAAAAGCAGAGCGAGACGAGGTGAAACAAGAAAATAATCAGAAGAGAATCAGAAAAGATACTGATACTCACAGTCTTCAACATGGACACATCTCTGAGTGACCTCATCCAGCACCATGTGACCAGGACACAGAGGCAAACATCCCTCCACTCTATAGAGAAACACACAGCTCTGAAAACTACTGCCAGCAACTCTCTATACAGTAGCATCACATTTCATTTACAGTGTATAGAAACAAGGGATTCCAAAAGGGTTCTTTGACCCCATAGGAGAAACCCATAAGAGAACCCAATAGGACAGCTCCATAGGACAGCTCCATAACCCTTTTAGGTTCTAGATAGCACCTTTGTTTTCTAAAAGTATAGAAACACAATTGTTGTGACAGATGGACAGATATAGAGTAGTTGTGATAAATATGATATGTACTGATATTGTCTTTGTTGATGTTGTTAGAACAAATGTATTCTATGTGAACATGTAAACCTGTCTTTTCAGTATGTCCTACAATAAAAATGTTACAAAAGAGTAATACTATTCTGAGTGATGTATTAAAATCTGTGGAAGATATCAGATTACTGCAAAACAAATATCTCAGAGTATTGTTTGTACTGTAGCCGACTGACTGACTGACTGACTGACTGACTGGCTGGTTGGCTGACTGGCTGGCTGACTGACTGGTTGACTGACTGGCTGGCTGACTGACTGGCTGGTTGGCTGACTGGCTGGTTGGCTGACTGGCTGACTGGCTGACTGGCTGACTGGCTGGTTGGCTGACTGGCTGGTTGGCTGACTGGCTGACTGGCTGGTTGGCTGACTGGCTGGTTGGCTGACTGGCTGACTGGCTGACTGGCTGGTTGGCTGACTGGCTGGTTGGCTGACTGGCTGACTGGCTGACTGGCTGGCTGACTGACTGACTGGCTGACTGGCTGGTTGGCTGACTGGCTGGTTGGCTGACTGGCTGACTGGCTGACTGGCTGACTGGCTGACTGGCTGACTGGCTGGTTGGCTGACTGGCTGGTTGGCTGACTGGCTGACTGGCTGACTGGCTGGTTGGCTGACTGGCTGGTTGGCTGACTGGCTGACTGGCTGACTGGCTGACTGGCTGACTGGCTGACTGGCTGACTGGCTGGTTGGCTGACTGGCTGACTGGCTGACTGGCTGACTGGCTGGTTGGCTGACTGGCTGACTGGCTGGTTGGCTGACTGGCTGACTGGCTGACTGGCTGATTACACAATAGAGCTGGAGGCTTCACATTCACATGGTGTTAGGGAAGGTTTAGCCTCTGTCTATGATGGTGTAGTCCGCATCCCAAACGGCACCCTATCCCCTATATAGTGCACTACTTTTGACCAGAGGGCCCTGGCCTAAAGTAGTGCACTACATACAGAATAGGGTGTCATTTAGGAGGCACTCGTAGCGTCACTTTGTGCTGCCTTACTTTGGAATGGTGACACATGCCCCTCCAGAGGGGTCACTGCAGGTCCTGAAGCAGGGGCTGACACACGACTCATACCTCCACTGGCACTTAGGACCCGTAGGGGTGTCTGGACCAGGGCCTGAGGGAAAATACACACTTTACATAAAGTGTTGCACAATTGTATGGATGTGTGTGTGTGTGTGTGTGTATGTGTGTGTGCATATTGGTAAATGTTACAACCATCAATACTTTTCTGTTACTCTGATCCTCTGCTTCAAACCAGTAGCACACCAACAGAGTATGAAATATGGAAATAAGTATACTTGTGTTTGTGAATTTCATAGTAAAGACAGTAGAAATGAAGTGAGTTGAGTTCTAGGCAGTCTGACAGTAGATACTGCATCTTCTATAATACTATAACCATGTTTCACTGAATACAGGGGCTTGTAGTTCGACCTCCTGATCCTCCCTTCAGGTCTCCACTAGTGACAGGGGAAGAAGGGGCTATCGATCCCCCGAGGCGATCGTCTGGACTCTGCCTAACCCCCATGGACTTCTCCTGGTCGACTATCGTCTGGACTCTGCCTAACCCCTCTGGACTTCTCCTGGTCAACTATCGTCTGGACTCTGCCTAACCCCTCTGGATTTCTCCTGGTCGACTATCGTCTGGATTCTGCCTAACCCCTCTGGACCTCTCCTGGTCGACTATCGTCTGGATTCTGCCTAACCCCTCTGGACTTCTCCTGGTCGACTATCGTCTGGACTCTGCCTAACCCCTCTGGATTTCTACTGGTCGACTATTGTCTGGTCTCTGCATAACACCTCTGGATTTCTACTGGTCGACTATTGTCTGGACTCTGCCTAACCCTTCTGGACCTCTCCTGGTCAACTATTGTCTAGACTCTGCCTAATCCCTCTGGGCCTCTCCTGGTCAACTATTGTCTGGACTCTGCCTAATCCCTCTGGACCTCTCCTGGTCGACTATTGTCTGGACTCTGCCTAATCCCTCTGGACCTCTCCTGGTCGACTATTGTCTAGACTACCTAACCCCTCTGAACCTCTCCTGGTCGACTATCGTCTGGACTCTGCCTAACCTCTCTGGACCTCTCCTGTTCGACTATCGTCTGGACTCTGCCTAACCCCTCTGGACCTCTCCTGGTCAACTATCGTCTGGACTCTGCCTAACCCCTCTGGACCTCTCCTGGTCAAACAATCACCTGGACTCTGCCTAACCCCTCTGGACCTCTCCTGGTCGACTATCGTCTAGACTGCCTAATCCCTCTGAACCTCTCCTGGTTGAATATCGTCTGGACTCTGCCTAACCTCTCTGGAACTCTCCTGGTTGACTATCGCCTGGACTCTACCTAACCCCTCTGGACCTCTCCTGGTCGATTATCGTCTAGACTCTGCCTAACCCCTCTGGACCTCTCCTGGTCAACTATTGTCTAGACTCTGCCTAATCCCTCTGGACCTCTCCTGGTCGACTATCGTCTGGACTCTGCCTAACCCCTCTGGACATCTCCTGGTCGACTATCACCTGGACTCTGCCTAACCCCTCTGGACCTCTCCTGGTTGAATATCGTCTGGACTCTGCCTAAGCTCTCTGGACCTCTCCTGGTTGACTATCGCCTGGACTCTGCCTAACCCCTCTGGACCTCTCCTGGTCGACTATCGCCTGGACTCTACCTAAGCTCTCTGGACCTCTCCTGGTCGACTATCACCTGGACTCTGCCTAATCCCTCTGGACCTCTCCTTGTCGACTATCGTCTGGACTCTGCCTAACCCCTCTGGACCTCTCCTGGTCGACTATCGCCTGGACTCTGCCTAACCCCTCTGGACCTCTCCTGGTCGACTATCGCCTGGACTCTACCTAACCCCTCTGGACCTCTCCTGGTCAATTATCGTCTGGACTCTGCCTAACCCCTCTGGACCACTCCTGGTCAACTATTGTCTAGACTCTGCCTAATCCCTCTGGACCTCTCCTGGTCAACTATTGTCTGGACTCTGCCTAATCCCTCTGGACCTCTCCTGGTCGACTATTGTCTAGACTCTGCCTAATCCCTCTGGACCTCTCCTGGTCGACTATTGTCTAGACTCTGCCTAATCCCTCTGGACCTCTCCTGGTCAACTATTGTCTAGACTCTGCCTAATCCCTCTGGACCTCTCCTTGTCGACTATCACCTGGACTCTGCCTAACCCCTCTGGACCTCTCCTGGTCGACTATCGCCTGGACTCTGCCTAACCCCTCTGGACCTCTCCTGGTCGACTATCGTCTGAACTCTGCCTAACCCCTCTGGACCTCTCCTGGTCAACTATTGTCTAGACTCTGCCTAATCCCTCTGGACCTCTCCTGGTCAACTATTGTCTAGACTCTGCCTAATCCCTCTGGACCTCTCCTGGTCAACTATTGTCTAGACTCTGCCTAATCCCTCTGTACCTCTCCTGGTCGACTATTGTCTAGACTCTGCCTAACCCCTCTGAACCTCTCCTGGTAGACTATCGTCTGGACTCTGCCTAACCCCTCTGGACCTCTCCTGGTCGACTATCACCTGGACTCTGCCTAACCTCTCTGGACCTCTCCTGGTCGACTATCGTCTGGACTCTGCCTAACCCCTCTGAACCTCTCCTGGTCGACTATTGTCTGAACTCTGCCTAACCCCTCTGAACCTCTCCTGGTCGACTATTGTCTGGACTCTGCCTAACCCTTCTGGACCTCTCCTGGTCGACTATTGTCTGGACTCTGCCTAACCCCTCTGGACCTCTCCTGGTCGACTATCACCTGGACTCTGCCTAACCCTTCTGGACCTCTCCTGGTCGACTATTGTCTGGACTCTGCCTAACCCTTCTGGACCTCTCCTGGTCAACTATTGTCTGGACTCTGCCTAACCCTTCTGGACCTCTCCTGGTCGACTATTGTCTGGACTCTGCCTAACCCTTCTGGACCTCTCCTGGTCGACTATCGTCTGGACTCTGCCTAACCCTTCTGGACCTCTCCTGGTCGACTATCGTCTGGACTCTGCCTAACCCCTCTGAACCTCTCCTGGTCGACTATTGTCTGAACTCTGCCTAACCCCTCTGAACCTCTCCTGGTCGACTATCGTCTGGACTCTGCCTAACCCTTCTGGACCTCTCCTGGGCAACTATGTCCGGCATCCACTGTTGTCAGAGAGAAACCCTATCTGCCAGCCTGTGTGGACTCTGCTATGCTCCTAAAACAAATGGCTGACATATTTTTAGCCCCAGTATTTACCCAGCCTGCATCAGGAGCAGCAGCCCAGCTGTGGAGACAGAAAGAGAGCAGGCCTCTCTAGACCTCACCAATTCTAACCATACATTTGGACCTGAACTATGATTCACAAATCACTCTACCAGATTATGAACAGAAATACTCCCCAAATGGTGAAGTTGTTATTTAGTTAAAATAAAAACCACCCCTGCCTAGTATCTAACCACCCCCTCTCTGTTCTCCCTTCCCCCCAGTTGATGACTCCAACCCTGGGCATTAGCCAGGGCAAAGCCCCTTCTCTGGAAGCAGTATACTGGAATGGCTGGCCGGTCTTTGTTTTGGAACAGCCGTGGGCCTGGGGGGCCCTGGTCTGGGGGGCCCTGGTCTGGGTGGGCCCTGGCCTGGGGGGCCCTGGTCTGGGGGGCCCTGGTCTGGGGGGCCCTGGCCTGGGGGGCCCTGGTCTGGGGGGCCCTGGACTAGGGGGCCCTGGTCTGGGGAGCCCTAACACGCCGCCCTTCCACCCCTCCATCTCTCCACATCTCAACATGTCTGTGATTAAAGGCACACATCAGCCACTCACCACTCGCCACTGACAAAATCTGTCATTCTGTTCCGAGGTGGGAGTGTGCCGGGCGACAGCTGCAGGGGCTTGCCATTACAGTGCAATGCAAAACATGGCTGCCCGCACAAAGAGCCCATTAACGGGCTAAATGGGTGTTTTTACAAACCGAGGCGTACGCACGCTGGTGGAGCCATGGTTAGAGGGGGTTGTGGGGGTTGGAAGGGTGGAGGGGCTGCAGCAGGGGGTTAGACCAGGGGGTTAGTAGCCTAAACTCCAAAGTGAAAGTCTTTGTCTCTGGACCTCAGCTGTCAGCCATCTCTGATACATACAGTAAGTATTGGGTTGCATTGGGGGACACGAGCATAACATGGCAAACACTCCAAGAGCTGGACCAAAAGATAGAAGACCATAAGAAGACCATTAGATGGTCACAAGTGTCTGTTTTAAGTACTCATATCAAAATACACGGTATGTATCGGTCTGAGTAAATGTAATCACCTTTGAGAAGAAAACCTTTAACTTTACCTTTACATAGCTCTTCCTTTCCCTTCCCATGTAACCTTCCCAGACCTCCCATCCATCCCACATACCTGTCAGTTTGAAGAGCGTGGCTTTGCGGAATCCGTCGGTGTGTTTGTACTTCATGAGGTGAACCCAGGACAGCATGAAGTGGAGGAAGAATCCCGGCCTGGCGAAAGCCTCCAGAGAATCATAACCCTGGATCCAGGTGTCACGGTGAAGCGTGAAGGTAGCCGCGTCCCAGAATTCTTCACTCTCCTTCCACTTGGTCAGCGTAAGATGGCCGCTGCTGTCCACTGCCAGGAAGTAGTTCGGTCGGTCGGACGCCTCGAACGACACCAGGGACGTGTCTAGTGGATAAGTTGATCACCAATTTAGGAACCTCAACATCAAGGGTATTTTCTGGTTAAATAAAGGTTAAATAAACAATTTGAGCTCTTTACACCTGGGTGACATGTACAGTATGTGACCCAGGTCAGGCTAGCACGTTAGTGGTCAGATAACTGTAGAACACTAGGCTAGCTAAAACAGTCTAGGCTAGCTAACACTGCTGGCAGGCTGAATAGCCATCACTACAGCCTGACTAGCCATCACTGCAGCCTGACTACCCATCACTACAGTCTGACTAGCCATCACTACAGTCTGACTAGCCATCACTACAGCCTGACTAGCCATCAGTACAGTCTGACTAGCCATCACTACAGCCTGACTAGCCATCACTACAGTCTGACTAGCCATCACTACAGCCTGACTAGCCATCAGTACAGCCTGACTAGCCATCACTGCAGCCTGACTACCCATCACTACAGTCTGACTAGCCATCACTACAGTCTGACTAGCCATCACTACAGCCTGACTAGCCATCACTACAGTCTGACTAGCCATCACTACAGCCTGACTAGCCATCAGTACAGCCTGACTAGCCATCAGTACAGCCTGACTAGCCATCACTACAGACTGACTAGCCATCAGTCCAGCTTGACTAGCCATCACTACAGCCTGACTAGCCATCACTACAGCCTGACTAGCCATCACTACAGACTGACTAGCCATCAGTACAGCCTGACTAGCCATCACTACAGCCTGACTAGCCATCAGTACAGCCTGACTAGCCATCAGTCCAGCTTGACTAGCCATCACTACAGCCTGACTAGCCATCAGTACAGCCTGACTAGCCATCACTACAGCCTGACTAGCCATCACTACAGCCTGACTAGCCATCAGTACAGCTTGACTAGCCATCACTACAGCCTGACTAGCCATCACTACAGCCTGACTAGCCATCAGTACAGCCTGACTAGCCATCACTACAGCCTGACTAGCCATCAGTACAGCCTGACTAGCCATCACTACAGCCTGACTAGCCATCACTACAGCCTGACTAGCCATCAGTACAGCCTGACTAGCCATCACTACAGACTGACTAGCCATCACTACAGCCTGACTAGCCATCAGTACAGCCTGACTAGCCATCACTACAGCCTGACTAGCCATCACTACAGACTGACTAGCCATCACTACAGCCTGACTAGCCATCACTACAGCCTGATTAGCCATCACTACAGACTGACTAGCCATCACTACAGCATGATCAGTGACTGAGACTCAGGTTGCTGTATTTGCATTTGGGAAGCTGATCCTCGGTCTGTCTTCCTTCCAGAGTCAACGTGAGGGCATCTCTACAATCACTGTTTTCACTGGGAAAAGAGCCTCGCTCCAAACACAGTCCAAACAGTGAAGGACGACTTGTCTTATTGACATTAGTAGGGCCTATCAACAAAGGGAACTAAGGGGATTCAGAATAGCAGGACAGGAAGACTTCATTAGACCAGTGGATAGGGACTGGAAGACTTCATTATACCAGTGGATAGGGACTGGATGACTTCATTATACCAGTGGATAGGGACTGGATGACTTCATTATACCAGTGGATAGGGACTGGGAGGCTTCATTATACCAGTGGATAGGGACTGGATGACTTCATTAGACCAGTGGATAGGGACTGGGAGACTTCATTATACCAGTGGATAGGGACTGGAAGACTTCATTATACCAGTGGATAGGGACTGGATGACTTCATTAGACCAGAGGATAGGGACTGGATGACTTCATTAGACCAGAGGATAGGGACTGGATGACTTTATTAGACCAGAGGATAGGGACTGGATGACTTCATTAGACCAGAGGATAGGGACTGGATGACTTTATTAGACCAGAGGATAGGGACTGGATGACTTTATTAGACCAGAGGATAGGGACTGGATGACTTCATTATACCAGAGGATAGGGACTGGATGACTTCATTAGACCAGTGGATAGGGACTGGATGACTTTATTAGACCAGAGGATAGGGACTGGATGACTTCATTATACCAGAGGATAGGGACTGGATGACTTCATTAGACCAGTGGATAGGGACTGGATGACTTCATTAGACCAGAGGATAGGGACTGGGAGGCTTCATTAGACCAGTGGATAGGGACTGGATGACTTCATTATACCAGTGGATAGGGACTGGAAGACTTCATTAGACCAGTGGATAGGGACTGGAAGACTTCATTAGACCAGTGGATAGGGACTGGGAGGCTTCGTTAGACCAGTGGATAGGGACTGGAAGACTTCATTAGACCAGTGGATAGGGACTGGATGACTTCATTAGACCAGTGGATAGGGACTGGAAGACTTTATTAGACCAGTGGATAGGGACTGGGAGACTTCATTAGACCAGTGGATAGGGACTGGATGACTTCATTAGACCAGTGGATAGGGACTGGGAGGCTTCATTATACCAGTGGATAGGGACTGGATGACTTCATTAGACCAGTGGATAGGGACTGGGAGACTTCATTATACCAGTGGATAGGGACTGGAAGACTTCATTATACCAGTGGATAGGGACTGGATGACTTCATTAGACCAGAGGATAGGGACTGGATGACTTCATTAGACCAGAGGATAGGGACTGGATGACTTTATTAGACCAGAGGATAGGGACTGGATGACTTCATTAGACCAGAGGATAGGGACTGGATGACTTTATTAGACCAGAGGATAGGGACTGGATGACTTTATTAGACCAGAGGATAGGGACTGGATGACTTCATTATACCAGAGGATAGGGACTGGATGACTTCATTAGACCAGTGGATAGGGACTGGATGACTTCATTAGACCAGAGGATAGGGACTGGGAGGCTTCATTAGACCAGTGGATAGGGACTGGATGACTTCATTATACCAGTGGATAGGGACTGGAAGACTTCATTAGACCAGTGGATAGGGACTGGAAGACTTCATTAGACCAGTGGATAGGGACTGGGAGGCTTCGTTAGACCAGTGGATAGGGACTGGAAGACTTCATTAGACCAGTGGATAGGGACTGGATGACTTCATTAGACCAGTGGATAGGGACTGGAAGACTTTATTAGACCAGTGGATAGGGACTGGGAGACTTCATTAGACCAGTGGATAGGGACTGGATGACTTCATTAGACCAGTGGATAGGGACTGGATGACTTCATTCGACCAGTGGATAGGGACTGGGAGACTTCATTAGACCAGTGGATAGGGACTGGAAGACTTCATTAGACCAGTGGATAGGGACTGGATGACTTCATTAGACCAGTGGATAGGGACTGGAAGACTTCATTAGACCAGTGGATAGGGACTGGATGACTTCATTAGACCAGTGGATAGGGACTGGATGACTTCATTAGACCAGTGGATAGGGACTGGGAGGCTTCATTAGACCAGTGGATAGGGACTGGATGACTTCATTAGACCAGTGGATAGGGACTGGATGACTTCATTAGACCAGTGGATAGGGACTGGATGACTTCATTAGACCAGAGGATAGGGACTGGATGACTTCATTAGACCAGTGGATAGGGACTGGAAGACTTAATTAGACCAGTGGATAGGGACTGGAAGGTTTTTAATGAATGGACCTTGGAGTAGGAGGAAGGCTAGGAATGCAGAGTGTTAGAAAGTGTTATGAATGTAGTGAAAATGATGATGGACATGGACATTAGACTGATGTGACGTTGCTCTGCTTCCTCTGTGTTGCTCACCGTGTGGACGTGCTCTGCTGAGCCCAGGGGTCATCATGAAGAGGGACAGGAGACCAGCCGCAGTAGGGTCTCCTTTCTTAGGGAACACTGTCCCACCGGACCTGTTGGCTGCCAGCACCGTGTCGCTCTCCCTGTAGGTCACCAGCCTGTAGGGGCCTTTACCCAGAACTACAAGACAGAGGAGAAGGAACACTGTTATGAGGAATCCCTTCGCTGTTTTGGCTGACGTCTACGATGGGCTCCAGATCTGTGCAGACACTGCGCCCCCCATGTGGTTTAGCAATGAAATGCCTTACAAAATGTATCACGACGAAATGTTTGCAGCGAATTCTAAGGACAATGCACAACGAACTTCCAAGGTTCAGTCATTGATATGATTCTATGGAAATCAAACACCGTCTTGGAGAAATTTGATTTGATGACAAATAGGAGGACTTTGAGATAAGATTATGTATGTACCTTTGTTGTAGTATTCACAATCGTAGGCTGCAAATACAAACAGAAAGAGTCATTAGTGGAATTAAATAATAAACTGTCCAAAAGTAGTTAATTACATATGAAAACAGAGTGCCATTTCAGATGGTCCCACAAACTCCCATACCACCCATTCAACGGGTAGTGTGCCCAGTGCCTGCCCGTTGGACACTCATTGCCCGCTCGTAGCCCCAGACTTACGGCAGATCGACGGGGATCTCCAGTCCACGGTGACACCCTGGTGACAGCATCGGTGGGCGTAGGCTGCTACGCTGGTACAGAAACACTCACAGTCCCCACCACGACTACAGCCACACGTATCAGACAGACAGTTCATATAGAACCATGTCACATCCACCTGGACAGGAGGAGACAGGAAGGAAACTGTGATCTACTAGGTGTAGCGATACGGTTGTAACTGCCTAACACAACCAACTGCCTAATACAACACACTGCCTAATACAACACACTGCCTAACACAACACACTGCCTAACACAACACACTGCCTAATACAACAAACTGCCTAACACAACAAACTGCCTAACACAACACACTGCCTAATACAACACACTGCCTAACACAACACACTGCCTAACACAACAAACTGCCTAATACAACACACTGCCTAACACAACACACTGCCTAACACAACAACTGCCTAATACAACACTGCCTAACACAACACACTGCCTAACACAACACACTGCCTAACACAACACTGCCTAATACAACAACTGCCTAATACAACAAACTGCCTAACACAACACACTGCCTAACACAACAACTGCCTAATACAACAACTGCCTAATACAACAAACTGCCTAATACAACAAACGCCTAACACAACAAGCCTAACAACACACTGCCTAACACAACATCTATACAACCTAGAGCCAGCTGAGAGAGGTAGGGTTATGTAATTGGAGATAGGACAGGAGACCAGCTGAGAGAGGGTAGGGGTTATGTAATGTGGAGATAGGACAGGAGACCAGCTGAGAGAGGGTAGGGTTATGTATGTGGAGATAGGACAGGACAGGAGACCAGCTGAGAGAGGTAGGGGTTATGTAATGTGGAGATAGGACAGGACAGGAGACCAGCTGAGAGAGGGTAGGGGTTATGTAATGTGGAGACGGACAGGGACCAGCTGAGAGAGGGTAGGGGTTATGTAATGTGGAGATAGACAGGACAGGAGACCAGCTGAGAGAGGGTAGGGGTATGTATGTGGAGATAGGACAGGACAGGAGACCAGCTGAGAGAGGTGGGGTTATGTAATGTGGAGAAGAGACAGGACAGGAGACCAGCTGAGAGAGGGTAGGGTTATGTAATGTGGAGATAGGACAGAAACCCGCTGAGAGAGGGTAGGGGTTAGTATGTGGAAGAAGAGACAGGAACCAGCTGAGAGAGGGTAGGGGTATGTATGTGGAGATAGACAGGAGACCAGCTGGAGAGAGAGTAGGGGTTATGTAAGTGGAGACAGGACAGGACGGAGACCAGCTGAGAGAGGGTAGGGGTTATGTAATGTGGAGATAGGACAGGACAGAGCCAGCTGAGAGAGGGTAGGGGTTATGTAATGTGGAGAAGAGATAGGACAGGAGACCAGCTGAGAGAGGGTAGGGGTTATGTAATGTGGAGAAGGACAGGACAGGAACCATGAGAGAGGGTAGGGGTTATGTAATGTGGAGATAGGACAGGAGACCAGCTGAGAGAGGGTAGGGGTTATGTAATGTGGAGATAGGAACAGGACAGAGACCAGCTGAAAGAGGGTAGGGGTTATGTAATGTGGAGATGGACAGGACAGGAGACCAGCTGAGAGAGGGTAGGGGTTATTAATGTGGAGATGACAGGAAGACAGCTGAGAAGGGTAGGGTTATGTAATGTGGAGAAGGACAGGACAGGAGACCAGCTGAAGAGGGTAGGGGTTATGTAAGTGGAGATAGGACAGGACAGGAGACCAGCTGAGAGAGGGTAGGGTAGATAATGTGGAGATAGGACAGGAACACGAGACCAGCTGAGAGAAGGGTAGGGTTATGTAATGTGGAGATAGGACAGGACAGGAGACCAGCTGAGAGAGGGTAGGGGTTATGTAATGTGGAGACAAGGACAGGAGACCAGTGAGAGAGGGTAGGGGTTATGTAATGTGGAGATAGGACAGGACAGGAGACCAGCTGAGAGAGGGTAGGGTTATGTAATGTGGAGATAGGACAGGAGACCAGCTGAGGAAGGTAGGGGTTATGTAATGTGGAGATAGGACAGGACAGAGACCGCTGAGAGAGGGTAGTGGGTTATGTAATGTGGAGATAGGACAGGAGACCAGCTGTAGAGGTAGGTGGGTTAGTAATGTGAGATAGGACAGGACAGGAGACGCTGAGAGAGAGTAGGGGTTATGTAATGTGGAGAAGAGACAGGACAGGAGACCAGCTGAGAGAGGGTAGGGGTTATGTAATGTGGAGATAGGACAGGAGACCAGCTGAGAGAGAGTAGGGGTTATGTAATTTGGAGATAGGACAGGACAGGAGACCAGCTGAGAGGGGTAGGGGTTATGTAATGTGGAGATGGACAGGACGGAGACCAGCTGAGAGGGGTAGGGGTATGTAATGTGGAGATAGGACAGGAGACCGCTGAGAGAGGGTAGGGTTATGTAATGTGGAGAAGAGACAGGACAGGAGACCAGCTGAGAGAGGGTAGGGGTTATGTAATGTGGAGATAGGACACGGACAGGAGACCAGCTGAGAGAGGGTAGGGGTTATGTTAATGTGGAGATAGGACAGGACAGGACCAGCTGAGAGAGGTAGGGGTTATGTAATGTGGAGATAGGACAGGAGACCAGCTGAGAGAGGGAGGGGTTATGTAATGTGGAGATAGGACAGGAGACCAGCTGAGAAGGGTAGGAGTTATGTAATTTTTTTTGGAGAATAGACAGGACAGGAGACCCAGCTGAGAGGGGTAGGGGTTATGTAATGTGGAGATAGGACAGGAGACCAGCTGAGCGAGGGTAGGGTTATGTATTTGTGGAGATAGGACATGACAGAGACCAGCTGAAGAGGGTAGGAGTTAGAATGTGGAGAATAGACAGGACAGGAGACCAGCTGAGAGAGGGTAGGGGTTATGTAATGTGGAGATAGGACAGACAGGAGCCAGCTGAGAGGGTAGGGGTTATGTAATGTGGAGATAGGACGACAGGAGACCACTGAGAGAGGTAGGGTTATGTAATGTGGAGATAGGACAGGAAGGAGACCGCAGATGAGAGGGTAGGGGTTATGTAATGTGGAGACAGGACAGGAGACCAGCTGGAGAGGGGTAGGGGTTATGTATGTGGAGATAGGACAGCAGGAGACCAGCTGAGAGAGGGTAGGGGTTATGTAATGTGGAGATAGGACAGGACAGGAGACCAGCTGATAGAGGGTAGGGGTTATGTATGTGGAGAAGAGACAGGAGACCAGCTGACGAGAGGGTAGGGGTTATGTAATGTGGAGATAGGACAGGAGACCAGCTGAGAGGGGTAGGTGGTTATGTAATTGGAGACAGGACAGGACAGGAGACCACTGAGAGAGGGTAGGGGTTTATGTAATGTGGAGATAGACAGGACAGGAGACCAGCTGAGAGAGGGTAGGGTTATGTAATTGTGGAGATAGAGACGGACAGAGACCAGCTGAGAGAGGGTAGGGGTTATTAATGTGGAGATAGGACAGGACAGGAACCAGCTGAGAGAGGGTAGGGGTTATTGTAATGTGGAGTAGACAGGACAGGAGACACTGAGAGGGTAGGGTTATGTAATGTGGAGATAGGACAGGAGACCACTGAGAGAGGGTAGGGTTTTGTGATGGGATAGGACGGAGACCAGCTGAGAGGTAGGGGTTACGTATGTGGATTAGCAGGACAGGAACCTACTGAAGAGAGGTTATGTCAGCGAATGTTGACAGGACAAGGACACACACGAGAGCTTCAGGTTCGTCATGTATATGATCTAATGGAAATCAAACACCGTCTTGGAGAAATTTGATTGATGACAAATAGAGGACTTGAGAATAGATTATGTATGGTACCTTTGTTGTAGTATTCACAATGTAGGCATGCAAATACAAACAGTAAAGAGTCATTAGTGGAATTAAATAATAAATGTGCCAAAAGTAGTTATTACATATGGAATAACAGAGTGCCATTTCAGATGGTCCACAAACTGCCAATAACACACCATTCGAACGGGTAGTGTGCCAGTGCTGCCCGTGGGACCATCATGCCCGCCGTAGACCCAGACTTAGCAGAGCGACGGGATCGTCCAGTCCACGGTGACACCTGGTGACAGCATCGGGGGCGGTAGGTCTGTACGCTGGGTACAGGAACACCAACCAGTCCCCACCAACGGACTCAGCACACGTATCAGACAGACAGTTCTATAGACCAGTCACATCCACCTGGACAGGAGGAGACAGGAAGGAAACTGTGGATCTACTAGATTGTAGCGATACGTTGTACTGCCAACCAACCAACTGCCTTATACAACACCTGCCTAATGACACACACTGCCAACACACACCTGCCTACACAACAGCTAATAATAACTTGCATAACAACAACTGCTAACACACAACATCACTGCTAATACAAACACGACTGCCTAACACAAAGCACTGGCCTAACACAACAAAACTGCCTAATTACAAAACCAATGTCCTAAACACAACCACACTTGCCCTAAACACAACAGACAGCCTAACACAAACACACTGCCGATCCAACCAAACTGCCTAATACAACAAAATGCATAAACACAACACCAATGCATAAACACAACACACTGCCTAATACACACAAACCTGCCTAAATACAACAAATGCCCTTAATACAACAAAAAGACTAACACAACAAACTGCCTAATACAACACACTGCCTAACACAACACACTGCCTAATACAACACACTGCCTAACACAACACACTGCCTAACACAACAAACTGCCTAATACAACACACTGCCTAATACAACACACTGCCTAATACAACAAAGGATTATCTGATGAGCTCTTGATTTGGCTCAAGATCATCTCAAAATTCATTTTAATGACAGAATAACATAGAAACATAGAACAACAACAGTGATTATAAACACAACTGAAGTAAGATAGTAAGACAGGACAGGAGACCAGCTGAGAGAGGGTAGGGGTTATGTAATGTGGAGATAGGACAGGACAGGAGACCAGCTGAGAGAGGGTAGGGGTTATGTAATGTGGAGATAGGACAGGACAGGAGACCAGCTGAGAGAGAGTAGGGGTTATGTAATGTGGAGATAGGACAGGACAGGAGACCAGCTGAGAGAGGGTAGGGGTTATGTAATGTGGAGATAGGACAGGAGACCAGCTGAGAGAGGGTAGGGGTTATGTAATGTGGAGATAGGACAGGATACCAGCTGAGAGAGGGTAGGGGTTATGTAATGTGGAGATAGGACAGGACAGGAGACCAGCTGAGAGAGGGTAGGGGTTATGTAATGTGGAGATAGGACAGGAGACCAGCTGAGAGAGGGTAGGGGTTATGTAATGTGGAGATAGGACAGGACAGGAGACCAGCTGAGAGAGGGTAGGGGTTATGTAATGTGGAGATAGGACAGGACAGGAGACCAGCTGAGAGAGGGTAGGGGTTATGTAATGTGGAGATAGGACAGGACAGGAGACCAGCTGAGAGAGGGTAGGGGGTTATGTATGTGGAGATAGGACAGGACAGGAGACCAGCTGAGAGAGGGTAGGGGTTATGTAATGTGGAGATGAGGACAGGACAGGAGACCAGCTGGAGAGGGGTAGGGGTTATTGTAATGTGGAGATAGGACAGGGAGACCAGCTGAGAGAGGGTAGGGGTTATGTAATGTGGAGATAGGACAGGACAGGAGACCAGCTGAGAGAGGGTAGGGGTTATGTAATGTGGAGAAGAGACAGGACAGGAGACCAGCTGAGAGAGGGTAGGGGTTATGTAATGTGGAGATAGGACAGGAGACCAGCTGAGAGAGGGTAGGGGTTATGTAATGTGGAGATAGGACAGGACAGGAGACCAGCTGAGAGAGGGTAGGGGTTATGTAATGTGGAGACAGGGACAGGACAGGAGACCAGCTGAGAGAGGGTAGGGGTTATGTAATGTGGAGATAGGACAGGACAGGAGACCAGCTGAGAGAGGGTAGGGGTTATGTAATGTGGAGAAGAGACAGGACAGGAGACCAGCTGAGAGAGAGTACGGGTTATGTAATGTGGAGATAGGACAGGAGGACCAGCTGAGAGAGGGTAGGGGTTATGTAATGTGGAGATAGGACAGGAGGAGACCAGCTGAGAGAGGGTAGGGGTTATGTAATGTGGAGATAGGTACAGGACAGGAGACCAGCTGAGAGAGGGTAGGGGTTATGTAATGTGGAGATAGTCAGGACAGGAGACCAGCTGAGAGAGGGTAGGGGTTATGTAATGTGGAGATAGGACAGGAGACCAGCTGAGAGAGGGTAGGGGTTATGTAATGTGGAGATAGGACAGGAGACCAGCTGAGAGAGGGTAGGGGTTATGTAATGTGGAGATAGGACAGGACAGGAGACCAGCTGAGAGAGGGTAGGGGTTATGTAATGTGGAGATAGGACAGGAGACCAGCTGAGAGAGGTAGGGGTTATGTAATGTGGAGATAGGACAGGACAGGAGACCAGCTGAGAGAGAGTAGGGGTTATGTAATGTGGAGATAGGACAGGACAGGAGACCAGCTGAGAGAGGGTAGGGGTTATGTAATGTGGAGATAGGACAGGACAGGAGGACCAGCTGAGAGAGAGTAGGGGTTATGTAATGTGGAGATAGGACAGGAGACCAGCTGAGAGAGGGTAGGGGTTATGTAATGTGGGAGATAGGACAGGACAGGAGACCAGCTGAGAGAGGGTAGGGGTTATGTAATGTGGAGATAGGACAGGAGACCAGCTGAGAGAGGGTAGGGGTTATGTAATGTGGAGATAGGACAGGAGACAAGCTGAGAGAGGGTAGGGGTTATGTAATGTGGAGATAGGACAGGACAGGAGACCAGCTGAGAGAGGGTAGGGGTTATGTAATGTGGAGATAGGACAGGACAGGAGACCAGCTGAGAGAGGGTAGGGGTTATGTACTGTGGAGATAGGACAGGAGACCAGCTGAGAGAGGGTAGGGGTTATGTAATGTGGAGATAGGACAGGACAGGAGACCAGCTGAGAGAGAGTAGGGGTTATGTAATGTGGAGATAGGACAGGACAGGAGACCAGCTGAGAGAGGGTAGGGGTTATGTAATGTGGAGATAGGACAGGAGACCAGCTGAGAGAGGGTAGGGGTTATGTAATGTGGAGATAGGACAGGAGACCAGCTGAGAGAGGGTAGGGGTTATGTAATGTGGAGATAGGACAGGAGACCAGCTGAGAGAAGGTAGGGGTTATGTAATGTGGAGACAGGACAGGACAGGAGACCAGCTGAGAGAGGGTAGGGGTTATGTAATGTGGAGACAGGACAGGAGACCAGCTGAGAGAGGGTAGGGGTTATGTAATGTGGAGACAGGACAGGAGACCAGCTGAGAGAGGGTAGGGGTTATGTAATGTGGAGATAGGACAGGACAGGAGACCAGCTGAGAGAGGGTAGGGGTTATGTAATGTGGAGATAGGACAGGACAGGAGACCAGCTGAGAGAGAGGGGTTATGTGGAGAAGAGACAGGACAGGAGACCAGCTGAGAGAGAGTAGGGGTTATGTAATGTGGAGAAGAGACAGGACAGGAGACCAGCTGAGAGAGGGTAGGGGTTATGTAATGTGGAGATAGGACAGGACAGGAGACCAGCTGAGAGAGGGTAGGGGTTATGTAATGTGGAGATAGGACAGGACAGGAGACCAGCTGAGAGAGAGTAGGGGTTATGTAATGTGGAGATAGGACAGGACAGGAGACCAGCTGAGAGAGGGGTAGGGGTTATGTAATGTGGAGATAGGACAGGAGACCAGCTGAGAGAGGGTAGGGGTTATGTAATGTGGAGATAGGACAGGACAGGAGACCAGCTGAGAGAGGGTAGGGGTTATGTAATGTGGAGACAGGACAGGAGACCAGCTGAGAGAGAGTAGGGGTTATGTAATGTGGAGATAGGACAGGACAGGAGACCAGCTGAGAGAGGGTAGGGGTTATGTAATGTGGAGATAGGACAGGACAGGAGACCAGCTGAGAGAGGGTAGGGGTTATGTAATGTGGAGATAGGACAGGAGACCAGCTGAGAGAGGGTAGGGGTTATGTAATGTGGAGATAGGACAGGAGACCAGCTGAGAGAGGGTAGGGGTTATGTAATGTGGAGATAGATGTATGTAATGTGTATGTAATGTGTATGTAATGTGTATGTAATGTGTATGTAATGTGTATCTAATGCGTATGTAATGTGTATGTAATGTGTATGTAATATATGAGAAGGCTTGACAGAAGCACCAGTCATAGTAACAGCCACAGTGACATCAACCCACAGAGAGATCTGTGAGAGACAGCCTCCAGTAAGACAGTAAGATCATGATTAACGTCAGTGCTTTACAGGGAGTCAAAGGGCCTCTGGGAGCTGACTCAAATAACCAGAACCAGCCCCCCCCCCCCCCCCCCCCCCCCCCAGCACCCATCAACACAGACAGCTGAAACAGCAGAGGGAGAAACTGCTTGTCACAGTATAGACACACACATGCTATAGACACAAACACACACACACACACATATCCAGAAACAGATATCCACATGCCTATGCACACCCACTCCCATACACTCAGCAACACAATCTCAGCCTCCCTTCCATTGGCTGAGCTGCTGGCTGTCGTACTCCATACTCACCACCGGGTGGCAGACTTGGAAGACCTCACTGAGCAGGACTCCACACTGCCTCTTAGAGAACGGCTCCCTCAGGGGGCTCAGGCTGCAGGGGTGTCTGATGTCTGGGCTGTTAACACACTGAACACACACACATATCTGACCTTAGAAGACTGACAATACACACATGTATCATGGATGAACACGCACGCACACGCACGCACACCCACACACAGACACACACAGACACACACAGACACACACAGACACACTATCCAATGAGAATAGACAGTGGGGGTTTTGAAACTTGCCTCTGCTGCCGTCCAGCTGTTGCCAAACTCCTGAGGCGTGGCAGAGTCTATGTTTTCTGGTGTCCTCATCTCATTGACCGTCCTCAGGTCAAAGTTCCCGCACAGACCACTCAGCTTGCCCTGAACACAGTATTCACATTAATATTACACCAATCACAGACCGCTCAGCTTGCCCTGAACACAGTATTCACATTAATATTACACCAATCACAGACCACTCAGCTTGCCCTGAACACAGTATTCACATTAATATTACACCAATCACAGACCACTCAGCTTGCCCTGAACACAGTATTCACATTAATATTACACCAATCACAGACCGCTCAGCTTGCTCTGAACGCAGTATTCCCGTTAATATCACCCTAATCACAGCTCAGTTCAGTAAGAATGAAGCTAGTATATTGGATCTATTTCAGCACACCTGATGGCACTAATCAAGGGCTTGGTGATCTGATGGTACTAATCAAGGGCTTGGTGATGAATTGATTTGTTGAATAAGGTGTGATGGATTGGAGGATCCAGAGGACTGGGTTGAGAAAGACTGCTATAGGAGACAGCAGCTGCTCTGTAGTGACAGGGCCCGTGTTATTCTAGCGTTGGGGACACTAACAACCCTGGTGTCTGACCTGCCAGCGTGGTCCAGCCTGGATGTGGACCGTGGTCTTGCGATCCCAGAGCACGGTCAGGTCCTCCTCTGGAACATGGACCACGGTAAAGAGCCCAGCGCTCCATACGAACAGCTCCTGCCTCCAGTCGATCACACTGGACGGGTTCTACACACGACGGGGGACAGGAAACAAGACAATGGACAGATCAATATTGATGAACAGGTTGAGATGAGCCAGGGGGGGTCCGGGGGTAGTGCCCCCCACTGTGTTTTTTTAACCTAATTTCTTTATGGTTTATTGTTCATGGAGGACAGGGAAGAGGACAAGGCAGAGGACAGGGAAGAGTACAAGATGGAGGACAGGAAAGAGGACAGGGATCATGAATGATGTAGTCTTAAATAAGTGAAATTTGTGCCATAATTGGTAAGGTGTGACAACAGTAAGGTGATATTCAGTGGGTCTCAGGGGTCAGGGGTTAAGGGTAGTTCCTTTCTCTGTAATGTTTCATCAAACATTTCTTATAACACTGCAGGCTACATTAACCCTATCGAAACCAAGTAAGCAAACAAGTAACGGGCCGCTAGTGGAAACTGGGCGGCATCCCAGCGGTGGCCAGCCTTGGTCGGACCACCAGCGGCAAGTTACCCTGGTGAGGTTCAGGAGCAGGAGCGTGCACTTACTGGTTTGCCAGTGTCGTCGTCGAACGCAATGAAAGATCTACCGATGTTGATGAGTAGAGATTTCCTGCAGATGGCGCCGCCGTCGTAACAGTCGACGTTCTCAGCCGTCACACTCATCATCAGATCAGCACTGCTCTGTAGGTGGGATGGGAAAAATAACATGAAAATAGCAAGCTAACCCAGGACAGAACTGTGCTACTGAAAACCTACGAAATGTGTGAAAAAAGTACATTGAGTAAATTAAACCCTAAACCACTCTGTTCATCAATCCCTTCATCTATACGTGGATATCTTACCTTCACTGATTTTTTGCGTTGCATTTATTCCTCCCATTTTATTATCAAATAATGAGGGGGAAAAATGCATGAACTGGAGTGCTGGAAATGTAACTCTGGTACCTTAACTAGGTAGACTTTACACGCTCCAACGTAGTCAAACAGTAGACCATCAAAGGTCCTGTAGTGGCGATCACCATAGGCTGTGCACATGGACGGGCACGGGCGGAACACGCACTGGAATGTTCCATGCTGGCAGACACTGAAAGAGACGCACAGCGTCAACCATTACGATTCAGTACCAACCTACCAGCAAACTGCTACCACTTCATGTAAGCACATTCTATCATAACTAAATGGCCGCCTTTTTTTTTGTTTGGGAGGCCAGCGATTATCGCCTGCCGAAAAGTAGGGATCTCGTCAACTGCCAAATGTTGAATTATCACCGTTCATAGTGCTATTATACAGATCCCTATCTCTCCTTTTCCCTTCTCTTCCTCTTTCTTTCTTCCTTTGCTGGAAGAAGTAATGGATAGAGAGAAGAAAAGGAGGGTAAGAAAGACTGAGATCACTCTTTCACTCGCCAGGGAGAGAGAGAGACTGTTGAATTAACCACCGTCATACAAGGACTCTCTGTAAGCCAGAGCTGGGAGGTGATTTTTCTCTGACAGATAATAGAGGGTAATGGATATCAGGTGAACAGTCTCACTATAGGTCCAATCTGTACAGGACTCATCGCTTCAAGCCCGGGAAATGATCCTGGAAAAATTGGTAGCTGCTCGAGATTTGTCTTAATTCGGCCACACATTTTTTGCCAGGTGCTGAAGCAACAAATGTGTCTGTGACACAGACACTTGAAATGTTCATGGCAAACGAAAGCTGTATATGTGATAGATCTCATAAGGGGTTGAATATAGATGAGGGGTGTTTTGAAGAAACAATGCCGCTCTGTGTCATACTTCTGTACAGGAAATGATCTGAAAACCCTTCACTAATTTATGACACAACTCTCTCCTAAAATGTGTTGAGTTTGATACATATCCCTGTTTGGTTCGAGTAGAGTTTAATCTCTTAAAAAGTCAGTGTATAAATGGATTCTAAACGTACCATTGATGACAGGGGGAGGTGACCCTATCTCCAGGATAGTACTCTTTCCCCTTCCAGAGGCAGGGGCACGCATCAGGCTCAAAACACTCATCACCATGTTTCAGCAATCTAGGAAAACACAGAAACACACACACACACACAGCTGTCAGTTTCATTCACTTAGTAAGAATTAATCTGTGTTGCACTACTTGTAGAACAGACTTAACTTTGTTTTTAATCTGCTTGTACCTTTTTCACCCATAGAGATAAATAGAGATACTGTATCTCTACGCATGTACTCTACTAAGTTAATCTCTGAACCAGATCTCTGTGCCAAGAGAACTGAACGACAGAGGGAGCGCCAGAGTCAGTCTGGGTCCAGTAAACTGCCACTACAGTCAGGAAATGAGAGGGTTTCAGGGATGGGCAACTCTGGATGAAAAGGAGAAACACTCGTTACATGAGAAAACCAGACGATTAGGATTCTCAGAGATAGAGAGAAACAGCCTTTGTCCCGGGCCGTTCCATTGGGTTTCCACACTGTTAGAGCGACGGAGCTGATAAGAATCTTGTAATATCGTGGTGGCGGGTCAGAGTTATATCCCCTGGAGGGAGAGAGAGAGAGAGGAGAGGAGAGGCAGGGGCAAGTAGACAATGAAGCGACACATTGAATGGTCTGGCCACAAACCTGGAGGTTCATCTGTGTAAAGTTACACTGCAGATAAAGTGGTGCTAACAGCTTTCTTTATTCGCCCGCCAAGCCACTGGATCGATTACCATGATCAAAGCTTCCATAATAATTAATTATCCACTGCAGTCTGAGGTGGTGCAGCAGTTATGAATAAATCTCAGTCAACGTCTTTATCTTTCTCTATCTCTCGTTTAATTAAACCTTAACTGTATAATTGTTGCACCAATTCATGAATATTCCGCATGTAGGTGAACTGTTTCATCCTCGGTTGCAGCTCGCCCAGCCCACCTTATTTTATGTCTCAAAAGGGCCTGAACTGACGGGGCACTACAGCTCATCCAATGTCTTCACTCTTTCCATCTGTTTTTAGTAGGCTCTTATTTCCTCCAGGAATGCCCCAATACGAAGGTGAGGAAATCTTGGGCAGTGTTGGCATTTTCTGAATGAGAGGGCTGGAGCAAAGCAGTGCCAGAAGTGAATTCTACAGTGTTCATTATTGAGATGTGGATCTTTTTTCCCAGGATGTGTATAGAGAAAGGCATTTAGTATGGCTGGTACACAACTATGTGGTTTATGCTATTCACAATGTAAGATACAACAAAGCATGACCATTCCAGAGAGGACCACCGAGGATGTCTGGGAAAATTATTATGTTATAATATTGTCACTTAATGAAAAGGTGAGGAATCAATGTTTGCAGAAACACCATCGAGCTAAATTAAGACATTTGCACATTATATTTTATTTCTCTTGACTCCCAGCTACAGTGGCTTGTGATGGTATTCAACCCCCTTGGCATTTTTCCTATTTTGTTGCCTTACAACCTAGAATTTGTCACGATCGTCAGGGAGAGACCAATGCGCAGCGTGTTGAACGAACATGGTATTTATTATCTTCAGTGATAACATACACAACCAACAAAACAATAAACGACTCGTAACGTCCAACGGTAACAATGACCAACTGGAACAAGAACCCACAAACACAAAGGGAAAACAGACAGTTTAAATATGGCTCCCAATCAGAGACAACCAACGACAGCTGACACTCGTTGCCTCTGATTGGGAGTCACTCTGGCCAACCTAGAAATAAACACAACAGAACTACCAACATAGAAATAAACACATCAGAATGAACACACCCTGGCTCAACATAATGAGTCCCAGAGCCAGGGTGTGACAGTACCCCCCCCTAAAGGCGCGGACTGCGACCGCGCCTCAACTAGAGCAAAACAGGGGAGGGCTGGGCGGGCATACCTCCTTGGCGGCGGTTCTGGCTCCGGCCTTGCCCACCACCCTCCAATAAACCCCCCATAGCGCCCCTGGTCCAGTCTGGCCCCGCTGGCTGGAGCTGAACTGGACGTAGCAGGAGCGGTTAGCTTCAGCTCCGTAGTGGAGCAGTTGACCGGTACCTTCCCAGGCACCGGTGGCCCAGGCACAGGTTGTGCTGGACTGACGACGCGCACCCCGGGCTTAGTGCGTGGAGGAGGAACGGGCCTTACCAGGCTGACGACGCGCATCCCTGGCCTGGTGCGTGGAGGAGGAACGGGCCTTACCAGGCTGACGACTCGCACCCCTGGCTTGGTGCGTGGAGGAGGAACGGGCCTTACCAGGCTGACGACGCGCACCCCTGGCCTGGTGCGTGGAGGAGGAACGGGCCTTGCCAGGCTGACGACTCGCACCCCTGGCTTGGTGCGTGGAGGAGGAACGGGCCTTACCAGGCTGACGACTCGCACCCCTGGCTTGGTGCGTGGAGGAGGGACGGGCCTTACCAGGCAGACGACTCGCACCCCTGGCTTGGTGCGTGGAGGAGGAGCGGGCCTTACCAGGCTGACGTCTCGCACCCCTGGCTTAGTGCGAGTGGCAGGAACAGGCCGGGCCGGCGACGCGCACCGTAGACTTGGTGTGTGGAGCAGGGACAGGCCGGGCCGGGCTGGCGACGCGCACTGTAGACTTGGTGCGAGTGGCAGGAACAGGCCGGGCCGGGCTGGCGACGCACACCGTATACTTGGTGCGAGTGAAAGGAACAGGCCGGGCCGGGCGCGCACTGTAGACTTGGTGCGAGTGGCAGGAACAGGCCGGGCCGGGCTGGCAACGCGCACCGTAGACTTGGTGCGTGGAGCAGGGACAGGCCGGGCCGGGCTGGCGACGCGCACCGTAGACTTGGTGCGTGAAGCAGGGACAGGCCGGACTGGGCTGGCGACGCACCCCGTAGGCTTGGTGCGTGGAGCAGGGACAGGCCGGACCGGGCTGGCGACGCATACCGTAGGCTTGGTGCGAGGAGCAGGGACAGGCCGGACCGTACTGGGGACACACACCACTGGCTCTACCTCGGGATCTGGAATGGGCCGGACCGGACTGGTAACACACCCCAGTACCTCTCGCCGTGCCTCTACACCTTCCTTCCCTGCTTTGACCAGTGGCCCCCGTAACCTGGTGGCCTTCTGAATCCGCCCCTTTTCTGCCTCCGTCAGCCCCGTCGTCCATGCCGTGTGCCCCCCCCTAAAAAATTTCTGGGGTTGCCTCTCGCCTGTCCGACGTTGACACTGCTGACGCCGCTGCTCCTCTTTCGCCAGGGCCTCTCCCGGCGCTTCCTCCCATGTCCAGTCCAAGTTCTGCCCCGGGACACGCTGCTTGGTCCTTACTTGGTGGGTTCTTCTGTCACGATCGTCGTTAATAGAGGCCAATGCGCAGCGTGTTGAACGAACATGGTATTTATTATCTTCAGTGATAACATACACAACCAACAAAACAATAAACGACACGTAACGTCCAACGGTAACAATGACCAACTGGAACAAGAACCCACAAACACAAAGGGAAAACAGACAGTTTAAATATGGCTCCCAATCAGAGACAACCAACGACAGCTGACACTCGTTGCCTCTGATTGGGAGTCACTCTGGCCAACCTAGAAATAAACACAACAGAACTACCAACATAGAAATAAACACATCAGAATGAACACACCCTGGCTCAACATATAGAGTCCCAGAGCCAGGGTGTGACAGAATTAAAATTGAATTTTTTTTTTTTTTGGGGGGGGGGGTTGTATCATTTGATTTACACAACATGCCTACACTTTACACTTTGAAGATGCAAAATATTCCCAGTCCCTGCCGATGAAAAACATCCCCACAGCATGATGCTGCCACCACCATGCTTCACTGAGGGGATCGTGTTCTCGAGGTGATGAGAGGTGTTGTCACGCCCTGACTCTGGGGACTCTTATTTGTTGAGTCAGGGTGTGTATTTTCTATGTGGTGATTGTCTATGTTGTTTAGTTTCTAGATCGTGTAGATCTATGTTGGCCAGGTTGGTCCCCAATCAGAGGCAGCTGTAGCTCGTTGTCTCTGATTGGGGACCATACTTAGGCAGCCTATTGGCACTAGTGGGTTGTGGGATCTTGTTCCGTGTTAAGGTATGTTGTGTTGTGCTGCCTTGGACTTCACGTTTCGTTTTGTTTGTTATTTTGTCGTTGTGTTT